GTCACGGGAGAAGTCCGCGGCAGGGACGAGAATAGACCTCGGCATCTCGTGACTTGGAGGCTCTGAGCAACACAACTCCCCCCCCACCTCCTCAAGGAATAAACACAATCAAAGGGGATCTCAGGAAGACGTTAAACTCTATCAAAGCAACTAGATGTGGAAGGACTGCTGAAATGCTTCGTGGTTCCCTCTGTGTGGAGTCAACCTGGAAGAAATGTTTGGGACCTTCTCCATACCCCCCTGCAAGCGGGGACCTTGCTGGGCTCCTGCAGGTGACCATGAGCATCCTTGTGCCAAGCCCGGGGCGACCCATCCACCACTGCAAGGCTCGTCGGAGGTTTCTTGGGGGTTTCCTCAGCAGGGCTGTGGTAACATCCAGCCACCTGGCCCCAGAGACCATGGGAAGAGCACGGAGCCACATAAAAATCAATGTGTCTGTCCAGGATGGGGTCATGCTGAGCTGGGGGGGGGTCTGACTTGGGGTTCTTGTGTAAATTAATGCCTTGTGTGAAGGACCCCTCTGCCTTGGGGTCCTTGTTCACTCACAGCTGCAGTGGGAACTAATTTGATGGCAACCTATGTGGTCTCTCCCATTTTCTTTCTCCTTCTGAACTGAAGGCTGGCCTTCTCACCTGTCTGTCTGTCCACAACTGCTTGGTTGGTTTGAACCTCCAGATCCCCTCATCTTTCTCTTTTTTACCACTTGTTGCTATTCTGCTACCTCCAGCCTTTCTGTGCCCCTTCACCCTCCTGTTATCAACTGAACCACCTCCTCAAAGCATTGCTTTGGTATGAAAAATAGCCTTGTTATCCCCTGGGGAACCTTAGCAGGTGCAGGAGAAGGCTTGGAGACCCAGGCAGTGGCACAGACTGGGTTCGTTTTCCTCAGGGACTTGTCCTGGGTCATGTTTCTGCAGCCCTGGCTCACTTTCCCTCTCTGCTCATTAGCAACCCTGTAATATTTCCACAGCGGCGTGGAGGAAGCTTGCCTTCACGTGCCAAGGGGATCGCCTTCCTGCGGCATGGGCCACCTCCCACGCTGGCAGCCGGGTATATTTAGCAAGGAGTCTAGACCTTCCCGGTCAGACGTGGGCTAATTTTGCAAGGGGGTGTGTGTGTGTGTGTGTGTGTGTGTGTGTGTGTCTGGCATCAACCTGCTGTTGAGAGTGTGTTGAAATACCCTGTGACCCCTTCTTGTGAGCCTTTTAATCAGTGTCTATTTGTATATAACACTTCTTGGGTCACAGTAATGACAGGATTAACAACATCACTGACGGAGGGGGTTAAAAATAGCCAGGGCCAGCAAGAGTAGAAAGAAAAAGTCCTCTTGTAGCTGAGTGGCACATATAAACCCACAAGCCTGAGCTCCTGCCAGCCAAGTCAAGTGCTTTTTCCACTGATGAGTGGAAAGTGATGTCAGGATGAAATGCTATTTCTGTGTTTTTAAGTGGAACGCTCCTGTACAGGCAGGAGTGATTTACTGCAGAGAGGAGCTGGCAGCCAGGACACCTGCAGAGCATCCTGGGGCTGGCCAGGAGAGGGGGAGAAGTCCCAGGTTGGGTTTCAAAGGAAAATGGGGGGTTTCAACTGCTTATAAACTACTTGTCGCCTTTGGGCAGTGATTTTGGGTGGTGGAGTAAGGCTGGCACCCTGCAGCCCTACCCTCTCCTCTGCCACTGCCATGCTGCATGGCCTTGGGTGCATCACCTGTCCTCCCAGCATCCTGATCCCCACACGGTGAGACCCTGAGGAGCTGAGGGCCTGATCCTGCAACAAATTGAGCCTGGGATCATCCTTATGTGTCCTTACTTCAGTAGAGATGTTCCCACATGGAATCAGGCCCCAAACGTTGGCGAGGATGAGCACTTCATTAGCAGTAGCCTCGCGCTCATTAATTTCTAACATGGGGGTAGCATCTTAACCTTCTTCCCGCATGTGACTGTTTGCAGAGTACACCTCATTTAACAAAACATTAAGCATTTTACTTCCTCAGATCAAGTGTATCTATTAATAATGACTTAAATTGTCTGCACCGGCTTCACATTATGAGGAAAACTCATTCCTGGCACATGAAAGAGCACGATACACAGAAGCAAAATGACTTCAGCGTGAGCTTGTTCCCCAAGTTAAGCTGCCGCATAACAACTTAGTCTTCACACCGGGGAGATCTCAGCCCGTAATAACTTGCCCTGCCGGTTCAAAAAAACCATGAGACTGCCTTAAAAAAATCCAGCGAGTCCAGATGTGCCTGTGCTGAGAGCTCCTGGCATCGCCACCGTGATTTACAGCTGCCCTCCGGCAGTGGGAAATGGCATTTTTTTTTTTTCCAGGGAAATTTCCAGCGTGGCAAGGGAGCTCGAAGGCTGGCAGCCCGCGGCACTGCCTCCTCCAGCCGCTCTCAAGTGCAAATTGCAATGCACGACCGATTTAAAGCTCGCACCCCCTCTCACCCCCCAAAATAATTAAAATGAGCTGGCTGAGTGGCGGAGCTCCCTGTGATGGCTGTGTCCCCCACCCCTGGTACCCCGCAGTTGTGGGGAGGGGATGCTGAGCATCCTGTGGGCAGGCAGGATGGTGAGGCCACCATGCCACAAGATAAACCATCAGTTGCCCAAGCCTACCTTGGAGGGACGGCAGCGTGAGGGTGGCTCTCTCAGGTGATGCTTGCTTGTCCCCCCTGGGACACCATCCCCAGCCAGGCACCGTGGGCTGGGAGGTTTAATCTCCTCTCTCGGAGCCAGGTGCCACCTTGCAAACAGCCAACCTGCCACCGAAACGTCCCCACGTTTATATTTTCAGTGCTTTCCCCCCCACCCCCCCTTCCCTGGTCCATGTGACAGCGCTGCTCAGTTATGTGGCTGGTGGCTGAGCGAGGGGGTCAGACCACAAGATTGACGCCCACGAAGACGTGTGTCTTTGTGCGGGGGGGGGTGTCATGCTTTGCAACCCCCCAAAAAAAAAACTTTTGCAGATGCAATCGCATGAGCTGAGCCGGCTGAGCTGCTGGACCAGTTCTCCTTTAAAAACTGCCACCCGGTGAAATATAAACTCATCCCGAGGCTGCATTGATTTTGTCCGTTTTTTATTGGAAATTAGATAATATTTAAATAGTGCCAAAACATTTCCCTTTAACAGCTCTATATAATATGAAAAGGTATTCTGTGCTATGCTGGTTTATAGTGGCCCTTCTTTGTCAAACATAAATAATTAAATTCAATAATAAAAAAAACCCTTTCCAGTTCTCATAACCGTGCAGTGCTTTCTCCCCTCCCCCCCCCTTTTTCCACCAATTACAGGAATAAAATAACTATAGCTCTTAGCCTAACTAAGAATACTGGGCCCCCCCCCCCCCCGCCCTGAAGAATTGCAGCTGTGTTAATTATCCCCTGGGAATTCAATCCTGGTGTGCATCCTCTTTTAAAGGCGAAGGGGAGCCCTACCAATTATTTAACCCCTCAGTAATGCGCTCATGAAATGTCACCCTGAGTGCCAGCCTGGAAAACCATCTCAGACTGACCCTCCATCACACGGTCCCCTTACAGTACAAGGCCGGGTGATGGCATTTGCTAATTAGCAGCTCGCCCCTCATCTCCAGCAGCAAGGAGACAGGGTTATTTTTAGCAATCACCCCTGAGGTTGCTCATTTGTGGGCTGTAAATGTTGTAGTTTGTTTGTTTTTGGTTTTTTTTTTCCCCATTTTACCCTAGAATATTAGAGCCCCTTTGGCAAAGGAAGGCACTGGACTGCGATGCCTCTGCTGCTCTGGGCTGCAAAAGGCTCTTGGTGAGTGGCAGGCACGAAGCTTTCAGGTCGGTCTGCCTTAGATTTGGGGATGTGGGGGACTCGAGTTCTCCCCTGCATTTTTTTTTTTTCTCTTATTACCCCTTTCTCTTAGAAGGCATATGGCAAAGCTGTAATTTCTGGGTAGTGATGGTTTGCGGGTTGTACCCAAGAGGGTTTAACTCAAGGTGCAAGGGCTGTTCCCTCCCTGCATGAAAGCTGGTTTTGCTGCATAACACCTCTTTGTTAATGCCTACCTCAAACTTTGATGCCCCAAGGCTGCAATCTAAGCACCTGCCCACCTATGGCGGCTATAAAGACCACTAGCCCTGCTGTGGTTACCCCAGGGAGGACTTAGGAGTGGAGAAGCAGGCGGTGATAAAGGAGATGCTGGAAAGAAACCTGCACAACAAACCTTCTGAAAAGCAGGGACAGTTTTCTTTTGTGAAGGTTGTGTGCAATGGGAAAGGGCAGGAGAGCAGCTGTCCTGTGGGACTCACCCAGGAGATGCCACCAACCTTGGCACCAGCTCTTGGAACACAAACCCAAGAGGCATCTCTCAAGTGCTCAGAAAAAAAAATTTGTTTCTGCCATTAAAGTTTCAAAACTGCTGGGTTCAGCAGGGGATTGGGCTCTGCCAGCTGTTTAATGGCAACGGAGCATTGTTTTCGTTTTCAGTTTGCCTGGGTCTGCTGAAAAAATGAAGAGGAAAGGACACAAGTGAAATAACATTGTCCTATATAAAAGGTGGGATGGAAGGACAGAGCAAATATCTTGTTTGACTAAAGTGGCTCATAGGGCAGCACAAGGTGGCAATGGCTCTGCGCACCCCAAAAAAATGCTACTGGGGTCATGCAGGCATTTTTGTTGCTGAGCTGAGGCGGGGGAAGGTTTAGCATCTCCACAGCACGGGTTTGCTCTCAGTTTAGCCAGCACTGCAGTCGATGCTCTCCCACGGCTGCTGGAGAAGGGGGGTGCAAGATGGGTGACCCCCTCCCCACCTGCCAGGTGCCCTGTGGCCAGTGAGTCCCACCATGGCATCCCTGGGGGGGGCTGTGGTCCCAGGGAGGAGGAGTAAAGGGAGGAAAGAAGGTGGAAGAGATTAGAGGCTCCTTGTAGGGTCCGTAATGCAGGACCCCCTCCTGGGATGGGAGACACCAGGAGTGTGATGTGCCACGTGTCAACACCACTGCTCACAGGCTGACCACCTAAAAAGGGACTTATAAACGATTATAGGGTGAGGAGCCAGTGCTGGGTACCTCGGGACTCAAGCCCCAGTCCCTTTCCCCAAACTCAAAAACTGAATCAGATTCACCCCATTCCCTAGCTGGATCTCCACCAGGAGCATCGCTGCCATCCAACAGGCTTTTCTTTGCCAAAATGCTACGGGACGTGGAAACAGAGGAGCTGGACGGCACCACGAGCTTCAACAAGCCCTTCACTCGATTTCGTGCCATGCTGTTTTGCTCCTGAGAAAAATTAGCTTTTGACACCTGAAAGTGTAACGTAGTTGTGGAAAGGAGGTATTTATGGATCGGAAGATGTGTTTCCCAAGTGCACCCTAACTAGAAAGTTATGGAGATAATTGCTTGCCCTCTGGGATGCAGAAGAACAAACTCAACTATCCCTCATTGGCCATATCCATTTCTGGGGGATTGATTTATTCCTTACCAGTGGACACATCTGAACTTTGCTTGTCAGCATTAATTAGTGGGGACTCGGCCCGATTCATTACAGCTATGACCTCTCCTTGGCGCAGCTGCACTTTAACGAGAGAGCCATCTGGTTTGCCTGCTCAGCTCTGCCTTCATTCCTGCCGCCCCTTCCCATCACTTGCGGAGTACAGGCTGGAAACGCTGCCTTGGAAATTACAGGTTGCTGTTGCGGTGGGATGAGGCAGCCGGTTCTTGGGGTCCGGCCACGGCACCTGGACCATCCGTCACATCAGCAGCACCCGGCGGGGTGAGCTGTCAGCGCACTGCCCCCGCTGCCGCATCCCTGCCCTCCTCGAGCTGTGACACCGAGGAGTTTCCCTGCTGAAGGTGGAGGGTGGCTTGGGTGGGCAATGGCAGGGGGGACAGGGCTTTGGGCTGCCCCCGCCACCCCCCCACGAGAAGCTTTGTTAGCGGGCAGAGGGGGATGCGTTGCCTGCTGGCAGGGGTGACACATCATCGGTGGGTTAGGGACATCCCAGAATTGGGAGCTTTATCTTGGCGATGGAGCGGGGATGGCTTTGTAAGCCTAAAATGAAATGCTGGCTCAAGGCAGGACCCCGCTCGAGGGGCTCGTGGATGGAGGCATCTCCTGGCTGGGCTGGAGAAAATGACGCAAGGATGGGGCAGGTTTTTGGGCCATGAGGTGGCATCACGGTGTGCCCGCATGCGTGACCCCTCCAACCCACCCCGATGGGAGAGGAGGGGTTGCTCCCTGATGGGTGTTTTTAGGCTAATGTGGGGGGTAGGATGGGGGGGCCACCACGCCAGTGCAGGCTTCCATCAGGCTTTGAAATGATGCAACCGAGTCCCCAGATTTTGGGCTGGCCTGATGCATTTTCGCATTTCTCTCTACCCATCACCCACCCGAAGGGTGCTGCCTGAGAGGCTTTTCAGGAGCTGTCTGAGCAATGGCATTTGGGATGGAGCCTATCTGAGTGCACCTTTAATTAGAGCAATTATGGGTGTAACTTAGCCAAACATTGTGCTGAGTGGGGGTATTGGCTTTGCTGGCGAAAGGGCTCATTTGCATGATTTCCATCTCCTCCTGCTAATCCTCCAGTCTATTCACCCCTCCGAGGACAGGATTGCACCCAACCCTTCACCTCTCAGCAAGCTTTGACTAGGGCTTGGCCCATCACACAGTATCCAGTCTTAATGGCTGATGCCTAGATTTTCCCTTGCTTTTCAAACAGTCTTTCTTGGTGTTTCTGCTCTTGTTTCAGCCCATTCTCTTTCCTCTCCATCTTTTTTTTTCTTCCTGGAGTTTGATACTGAGTTATTTTTACTTAGGAAGCAAAAGTCCCACTCCACTGTGACAGCCTGATGTGGATGCTGGGACCTCACCCTGGACACCTGCTAGAGAAAATGGTGGAGGAGAACCAGCTGAGGTCCTCAGGCTTCATGACCTGCTTGCCCTGTTGGCTTTGCTAACTGGCCCGTTGCAGCAGCTGAGGAGTTTCTCCTGCTGTGAGGGCAGCAGGTGGTCTGGGTTTCCCATTTGCAGGTGATCCACCGAGCCAGAGAAAAGCCTCAGCCCCTGAGCTCCTTGGGATTTACTGGTTGGCTGTGGGCTTTGGGTGGTTTCTTGGGCAAAGCATTGCTTACAATCATTTTCCTTTCTTGTGGTCCACACACCAAGTACATCTGTGCAGAAGCTGTAGATGCTGCAAGGGAGAGCAGGTGAGTTCCTTGTGTTGGTTGTTTTTTTTTTTTTTTTTTTTTTTTTTTTTTATGATGATAGTATTTGGTTGTCCTCTGCAGGTCCTCCTTGTTCCAGTTCCTTGCTCTCTGCTGCTTATTTTGGGCTTTGGTGCTACTGTTGCCTGTGCTGTGAGCTGTCCTTCACCCTTTCCCAGTGTTTGCATTAATCCTTGCCTTGCGTTGCTGCTGGTTGCCTTTTCTCTGATGGGGAAACTGAGTAGAAGACTAAAGCAAGGGAGCCAGAAGAGGATGCTAGGAAATGGCCTTTACCTTGCTGCTGGCTTGCAGCTGCCCTCCTGAGAAGCAAACAAACAGCCTTATTTCATGTTTCTCTTCCCCTTTGCTTCTGGGTGCACTTTGTTGTCTTACTAATGATGACTTTCTTGCTAGTTTGAGCAACTTAAAGCATGAATACTTTTAAGGAGAGGGGCATCCCACCTATGGGAAACTGCACAGCATTGGTATTGTTGGAAATTGTGCAGAGGAGATTAGGGATGTGACTAGCCTTTTTTTGGAGGACTGAGAAAATGGGAAAGGGTGTGGAGTTTGCATTTCCCACCCTTTGGCCTTAAGGCTGCTGGGTAGGTGGGAGCAGAGCCTGGCAGTGCCCTGCCCTGGGACGGCACCTGGTTTCGGGGCATCCAGGAGCGGGGTGCAAGCCATGCTGGCACAACCCCTATTATTTTCCCCCCCCCCCCTGCCAAGAAAGGGTACTCTAGCTGAGGGCTGTAATGCCAAAGGCCAACCAAGGCTGTGTTTGGTGCTTTTGCAAGAGGCAACGGCACGCAAAAATAGGATGGTGCTTGTTTGCTCTGCAAAAGAAACGGCCCTTCTTTTGCAGCATCCTCCCAGGGTAGCGGCATTTCAGCCTGGAGCTCGGGAATTTGCCGGAACCGTGTAGGCACTGTGCCATTGATTGCACCGTGGTGGCCTCTGAAAAGCATCGTTGGCTGGGGGCATCCCAGGGCAGTGAGCCAGGGGTCCGGCTGGAGAAACCCCTTCTCCTTTGAAGAGGACAGCCTCACAGAAGCTGTGCAAAGCTGAACAAGAGCCCTAAATGATTTGGGGATTTTATGCAGCTTGTTATCTTAGGTGTAGGGTTTTCTTGAAATCCCAGCAAGAAATAATCCTCTTTTTCTGGCTGGAATAGAAATGGCTTGATGCCATGAGGCAAAAAAATAAAAGGAAGATCTACCCGGTGCTGTGATGATTTGCAAGGCTAGTGAGAGACTACATAAGGCGTTTTCAAATAGACTCCAATATTTTCAGTGCTTAAAGAGGGCCCGACTACATGATACCTTTTTTGAAGCCCTGATTTACAATGGACCCAGGCTGAGTGCATTATAATTTGCTGCACGAAGTGCCAAAGTCGCAGTACTTTCAATAATGAGGAGAGAAACCCTAATATGATGAGACTTTTTTTGGGTATTGTGTTTAATGAAAAGCTGAAAATGTGCTAATTTGTAAGTCCTGTTGTGGTAGTGGCATTGGAGGCTTTTGAAATGCATTACTGACTTAGGAAGTATTAAGAAAAAATGACATTTTGCTACTAGCAGAAAAGTCAATTATAATGTTTCTACACTTTAGAAAATTGCTGATGCAGGATGGGAGTTAATAGAACAGTCAGCTTCACTTTGTATTACCACATTTGGGGGGTTTTGCTGAGAAATGTCGGCTTGTTTTTTAATTCTGATGGCAACTTAAACAATAAGCTACAACAGGTGCCCTGTGGTTGGGACTTGTCTCTGGGGTGTGCTGGAAGGAGATGTATTCCTGTGGGCTGTTCCCACCTGGAGTTGGACTGTTTGCCAGCCTGGCATGATGCAGACTGCCCAGGACTGGGGTGAATTATCATAAATAAAGATTTAGCAGCATTTTGCAGTTGGGCTGATCTCTCCCTGATGGTGGAGGAGCAAGTGCCAAAGTGCTGAGGCCGGTGCAATCTGTTCCCAGTGCTTTGCAAAAGAGCCCTGTAAATTTGTTAAAAAACGTTTAAACCAAGAAACTGGAGAAAACAGCTGTCCTTACCCACTGTGCTTTGGAAGGAGCTTTTTTCCATCTCCTGGAGAACAAAACAGCAGTAAACTTTTCCTAAGCTCCTGGGGAACGGAGAGGCGGGAGCTCTGGGAGACTTGCTGCGGTTGCCAGAGAGCTTCAGTGCTGGTTGTAAAATCCCAGTGCTAGAGGAGTCTGCTTTCAGGAAGGCAGCGGTTGCTCCCAATAACCCTATCTCTAAATCGGTACAGGCTAGCAAGGCAAAATAGCTCATGCAAAATTGGCAGGGATCAGAGACAAGGGCTGGCACTGCTTTTAACAGGAGTTACAGTGTCTGATTAAAGGGCTTTGGCCACAGCGGCATAACCTGAGCTCTTGACATAAGCCAGGGACCTAATAATACTCAAGGCACATCGTGAAAGCATGACTTCATGGCGGCGGCGGCTGCCTTTTACCCAGCGAGGGCCATTTTCCCTCCCTCCTCGCTGCGAGGATGCAGCCCTCCTGCCTGGCTGCTCGGGACTGGGGCTGCCTTTGGCCGGCTGTGTCCCCAGGAGGTAGAGGCATCTCCTGCACGGATGCCAACAGGGATGGAGACTGGAATCTGCAAAGAGACAGGGGTGGCGGGAGCTCTGTCCTGGGCACTTGGTGGGTGCTGTAGAGCAGTGTGGAGGTGATGCCTCAGGACTTAAGGCTCCACTTGGTTTTGGTTTCTTATTCATCCTATTCCAAGCACTATGGTAAACTGCTTGTTTCTCAGGCTTATTGATAGGGTTTAAATCAATTGGCAGACATCTTATCCGAGGCAGGGTATCCCCTACACACCTGAAATTCTAATTATGGCACTTTTTTTGCCTTGGGGCAAATTGGTAGCAACTTATTTCCAGCTGTAGCAGGCCTGTCAGCCGCAGCCTGAGTCTCTGCTCTGGCTGGTTTGGCTGATGCCCAGGTGATGGGGATTGGGGTTTATTGGCATTTTGGGGAGGCAAAGGTGATGAGGGGAATTTGTACAACAGGGGAGGTGCGTAAGAATGGCTCCCAGGTGCTTGGATGGAGGCAGGGTGCTGGGGCTGTTCTCCTTGCCCACCACCAAGGACCCTGCAAAGCTGGAACTGAAACCTGGGCTCCTGCTCCAAGCATGGCCTCAGGGGCTATATTTAAAGCACATTAAAATCCACAGGAGGGGTTATGCCAAGACTTTATTGCCTCTGGGAGAGTGAAGTCACACTTTGTTCCCTCTTTCTCGGCTGTTCCTCCCCAAGTGTTTCAAAGGGGGGGTTCCCACTTGGTGTGGTTAAAGCAGAAAGATGGGGAGTGAGAATGAACACTTTTAGAAAGTCACGTCATATGTAGTTCTCCTGGGTTTGGAGGAAGCAATTAAGCCAATTAATTTATTGGTAAATTATCTTATGATGAAGTACAAAATAACTGCAATGAAACGCTGACATTCACATTAATACCAAATTAGTTACTGTATTATGACTGTTCTTACAATGAATGCCCAGTAATTTAATAGTAATGGGACATTTAAATAATTTAGCCGATAATTCTCTAGATCACTTGCATATATAAATGAGTGTGACAGCTTCTTTCCTCAACTTTGCTGGTGCTTCTGGATTACCTCCTACCACCACACCAGGAGGCAAAGCAGCCTGGCACTCTGCCATCTCCCAAAACTCATCTCTTGCTGGAAACTAAGTAGGGGACAGGGTGTAGCAAGAGGGATTTTCCTCCCTGGTCAGATTTTGGGATTGCTGTGGGTGGAAAGCAGAGCACAATTGCCTTGCAGCTGGGCTTAGCAAAGCCACAATCTTTTTTTTTTTTTTTTTTCTGTGGTGAAAGATCTCTGGGTAGAGATGCCCTACTCAGGCCTGGTAGAGCATCTCTAGCAGTGTTGTTTGTGAGAGCACTGTTAGCTTCACAGCAGGACAGGCATTGGAGGTCCAGCTGGGGCTGCTTAATTGAATAGTTCAGCTATTGATACCGAAATTACTGTGTGTTGGCTCTGCTCGATGCAACAACTTCAAGTAACTGCACTTTCTGTAATAATAATTATAAATAGCATTAAAATTGCTCCTCATCCTTCCTTCCCCACCTCCCACTGAGAGGGCTCTAAAGGAGAGCAAGGGCTTGGCAGCTACACAGGGCACAGTTTGTCTGCTTTATTGCATCTTTGTCACCCCCCTGCACCTATGGAGCTGTTTGTAGGTACACCAGCTGTGGCTTCCAGATCTCCATGGCTGGGGGGGTGGGGAAGAAATGCAGTTTACGCTGAAAGCAGCCACTGTTGCAAGCTACACCTAAAGGCTAAATTGCCCCAGTGTTTTTTTTCCCCCATAAACTGGTGAATACTGGAGAAAAACTGCAGGCTTCTGCCCTGCCAAGCACACCTGGGATGGTTAGAGGTTCATTCATCCTTTCTGCATGGGGTCGGAGTCATGCCCTGGAGATGGATGTTGCCAGTCAGCGTGTTACTTTGCTATTGAGATTGCACTGAACCTGCTGAAATATTAGTTAATGGGCTTGCTTACGTCCAACCTAAATGCGGTCTTTTCATCACATCACATTCTGCTGTCAAACCTGTTGTGGAGAGGAGTATTCCACTGTCGGCAAGATTGAGGACGGAATTATCCAAATTAGTTTTCTTGCAGATGAGAGCAGAGATGAGGTTTTTAACACAAACCCTGCCACATCTTTGGAGAGTCTGGCTCCCCTCACCGAGGGTGAAGTTGAAGAGTACCTTTTAATTTGGATGTGCTGCCAAATTTGGGAAGCCAGCAGCCTGCCACAAGCAAGTGTCTGCAAAGAAAGAATAAAGAAAGGAAAGCCAAAGTTTGTAGCTGCTCTGCTGCAAGTGATTAAATCCAGGGGCTGGCAGCTCATACTCATGGAGTCCCTTGTGTGGGTCATGACAAGACTCCAGCAGCTGGATTACTGCTGGGATGGCTGGGGGAAGGACTTGTGTACACCAGAAATATCCTGAGGTATAGCACACAGGAGATCCAGTAAGCATCTCTTTTCCTGTTGTTTGGATCCCCTTGGCAGGGCTGGAGATGCAGCCTCAAGGTTGAAAGGCTGAAATCCAGGGGAGCCCTGTACTGGACAGCAAAATGTAGCCAAAGAGGACCACAAAAAGCCCCAGTTGGGGTGGCTCTATCCTATGTGCTGTGATAGCATGGCAGCCTATTCTTCCCCTAGGGAGAAAATTCACTTTATTAACAAGAGCCATCCAGTTCCCTCTGCTGCGCTCAATGAGATGATTGTTTGAATCGTTTTCTGTGCCATTAGTTGCCTGTAGGAATCTTTCTGGGCTTTTGTTCAGACTTTGCTGTTTCCAGGAGCATCTTTTCCCATTGGATTTCTTCTTAGGAGCAGGAGAGGCTCAATACGATCCCCTTTGAGCAAGCTTTGTTAGAGTAGGTTTTTGGGTGGTCTTTCATCTTTCTGCAGGGTTTCTGTCCTAAAACATGTTGTGTACTGACACTCTGGGTAAGAGCATGTTTTCTACAAGTGTCGTGGTTTAACCCCAGCCAGCAACTAAGCACCATGCAGCCACTCACTCACTCCCCCCCCATCCAGTGGGATGGGGGAGAAAATCAGGAAAAGAAGTAAAACTCCTGGGTTGAGATAAGAACGGTTTAATAGAACAGAAAAGAAGAGACTAATAATGATAATGATAACACTAATAAAATGACAACAGTAGTAATAAAAGGATTGGAATGTACAAATGATGCGCAGGGCACCTGCCCCCCCCCCGCCGCCCGCCCCCCAGCCAGTCCCCGAGCGGCGAATCCCTGGCCCCCACTTCCCACCCAGTTCCTAAACTAGAGGGGACGTCCCATGGTATGGAATACACTGTTGGCCAGTTTGGGTCAGGTGCCCTGGCTGGGCATGAGAAGCTGAAAAATCCTTGACTGTAGTCTAAACACTACTGAGCAACAACTGAAAACATCAGTGTTATCAACATTCTTCTCATACTGAACTCAAAACATAGCACTGTACCAGCTACTAGGAAGACAGCTAACTACATCCCAGCTGAAACCAGGACAAGTCACTTGCCATCATATTTTTGATGAAATAACTGTTCTAGTAGGGGAAGCCAGGGGAGTAAGGGGTTGGGATAGTACTAAGATGCAGAAATTTTTGAAATGTGATCATTACCTTTTATGTAGAAGACCTGTCAGTAAGATCTTAATAAGCAGTGAGCAGTGCTATACTCAGAGTGAATTGTAACTGGCAGAGTATGTGTGATGTGCTGTCGTCAGCCTGCCCTCCTCTAAAGGCAGGTTGGCCTGGTCTGGTCTGGAGGAAACCTGAGCAGCTTCCTACAGCAATGCAGCCCTCCTCTACTTCACAGTCTGTCTATAGAGAAGGTACAGAGAGGTCCTTTGACTCCCTGGGGATGATGTGCCTTGTGTTTCCAGTTAAAATAGGTATTGTGAGTTACCTATTGTCAAGTCAACATAGGTAGGCTGCAGTTAGAGGTGAAAACAGGTATTTGTGGCTTTTATCTGTAGAAGACTCTAGCGAATGAGATCCTGCACTTGACATAAAGGTGGTGCTGGCTCCATCAGTGTCATGTAAGATGTTCCAAAGCTTTAGGGTGTTCTAACCACTGTTTAGAAATACCTTGTCCCCAAAATTGCTGATTTGTGCACAAACAAGATTGCCTATCAACTGAAACACTATCAAATCCTATCATGGACCACTTGGTGCATTGGCATTGTGTTTCCGAGACGGTTTAGTTCCCTGCACTTGCTATTTGTGATATTTTGATATTAGGCCTAATGCACCCTGTTGAGTAGGAGACACTACATCAAAGCCTAAGACCAGGAAATCTCTGCCTCCAAGTGTCTTAGGTCCTTCTGTGCAGAAGACATGCCTGCCACAGAGCTTCAGGTTTTCCTGCTCAAGCACACAGAAAGAGCTGCTGTGGTCCCACAAGCTGCATCTGCGCATGGCTTCATGCGTGGGGTCTGAATGTGGTGGGGCAGACTTTCACCAGTGGGCTACTTAAACAGAGCTTGCAGGACTGGATTTAGAAGAAGCTGAAGCAGGTCTCCGGATTGGGTTTAACACAGCATGAAACAGCCTTTTAGAAAGCTCAACAGGCCTATTCCAGATTGCCATTACAGCTGCTGCTTTGCTACACACGGGGTTTGTTTTAAGCAACAGATACATTGCTATTTGTGCAAACAAAGCAATTGGGCACTGCTTTCTATTGCAAAACAGACTTTCAGGACATCCACCAAAATGAACACCACCTGACTGCTTTGCTTTTGTGCTGCTTATTAATGTTTTCTGCTAAGATCCACATGTATGAATTTGTCCATGAAAAGGCATCAAAAGGTGAAACAGTGCTGGTCCTCATGTGACTATGTAAATATTCAGCTTGTGGTAGATTGCATTAAGTGTCTTATAATCCATCGCAATTAAAAAGCAGTCTTTATAGCTGTAATAGTTTTATTGAGAACTGTAACACATTAGACCTACAGATATATAAAGCAGTTAGTTTTATAAAGCATATAGGATATTAAAGTAATGAAAGACATTAATGTGACATCAATTTTTAAGGAGAGTTACTTGCTGAAATAAATGAGTATAGCCTAAAAGTTGATAGCATGTTACAGTCCTGAGTAATGAACCCTTCTGTCCCCTAAAATCTCTTAGAATAAATAATGCTTGAGCAAGTTAGTGGTCATTAACTCTTTATCCTCTGAGAGCTACTTGTCACATTGATGTCTTACCCGATTTTTTTAACTTTTAAAAATTCATTCAGAAAGGAGTTGTGTTTCCTGGAATACCTATAACTTGGGGTGTACTATTCTGACATGTCTGTTTTCCTAATGTCTTCCTCTTTCCCATGAAGTAGAGCTGTGGCTGGTATTGCCAGATGCAAAATTCTTGAGGAAGTTAGTTTTTCCCTTTTCCTTTTTTTGTTTTTCCTTTTTCTGCTTTCTCACTGTCTGCCAGCGCTTTGATGCGTGCTTTACCCAGTGGTGTCTTGGCATACCAAGCCTGGAGAATCAAAAAGCATGTGTATGTTTTTATTAAAACTTTAAAAAAAAAAAAAAAAAGAACATTTAAACTTTTTACTAGTACAATCGAGCATTCCTTAAAAAAACCCCACCTCTTAAAATCCTGGCTGGCTTGTGGAGAAGCAGAAATGAAATCCTCCCATCTCTTGAGAACATTATTATAACAAGAAGTATAGCAATTGCTTGCTTGAATTGTGTCTCATTAACAGGAATACTTAGCTGGGCCATTTGTGTTGCTATAGTTATGGAAATGTTAGAACTTCTATGATCAACCCTATTTCTGAGGCATATAGCTCTTGTCAAAACTCCCTCTGGTCTGAAACTTGGCAATAGACAAAGCATATACTTCTCATGGCTCTGCAAATCAATCCAGACAGTTTTTATTTCAATGAGAGAGCTTAAGAAGCAAAACAAACCCCGAACATTAAAAACCTGTTTATTGCTTTCAGATGCCTGTTCACAGTCCTGTGACTTGTAAATGATTTTGGTATAGTCGCTCTGCAAACTTGCCAAGCTCCTGGACTGCAATGTCAACAAGGCAGTTCTAGGCCATGTGAAAATAATGTAAAGTGAAGGAGAAGGCAATGCTTTAAAGTTAGTAGTTTGTAGGAATTAGTCTTTCCCCATATGTACGTACAGGAACCTTTATCAACAAAGGCCTGCCTACACCAGAGATTAAAATGCCACTAGGTGTTGACATGATTGATAAAATACCTTCCATCTTGACTGTATTCATCCATGTGCTGCCCCAGGAATGAATGTCTTTCTGCTGACCACAGACCACTATTTAATGCCAGAACTGTGACTCCTCTGCCCTTCGATTGGGCCCCTGTCATCTTCACCCTTCTTACCAATGCGGCATTCTGTGAAATCTGCCTTTTCCATATGATCCATCCAAAATGCTGCCTCCAACTTGAGCCTGGTAAGGCTACCCCTAGGAATTTGCCTTGTCCAGTTTCCCAGTATGTGTTACAGACAGGCAGTAGCAAGAGAAGTAATTGGGAGAAGAGGTATTGGAAGCGTATAGGGAAGAAAACCCCTTGATGTTCCTTTCCTGGCCTCAGACGGTCCTTCTTGGTGTCATGCTTCTTAAAGGCTTCCTCTGGGTCCCAGAAAGGGGCTGATGACAGGCACCCTATTTGGTTCTCTTGTCTGGCAGATTAAATACTGTCAGCAGGTAAATGAAGTCTGAGAGCTGTCCAATGTCCAGCTGGCTGCTGGGCAGCCCTAACCCTGATCTCTGCTCTAATTGCCTGAACTAGCTGAGCAGCCCTCCTCCTAGAAGCCTGACTCCACAGATTAAAACATCGTGCAACCTCTCATGCATCCACTTCTAGATGGAGGTGGGAATCCCTGAGCCTTTAATGCAGTGGCCTGGGCAATTAAATTTTGCTGTCCTAAAGATGGTTTTGGGCCAAGCTATTTCTGTGTCGGGGGAACGGATGCAGGATGGGGTAGGGAGAGGTCTGGACATGGTTGTTTCTGGTCCTTCACATGAGTGGGGTAAGAAAGACAAGGTGGTGGTTGTGACTGTTGGCTCAGGGAGGAGTTGACGTCCCCAAGAGTAGCTAGCAATCAAGCAATGACTCTGGCCTTCCGTGCATGATAGGCCATGAGGCCACAGAAATCCTATTTCCCCCCAGGTTTGTTGTCTTGGGTATAATGCTCTCCAGACTTTAAGTGCGAGATGGAAAGAACAACAAAACCCTGCCAACAGCTTGCTGGGACCTTGGTAGGGTGGAAAGCGCTGTTTGGTGGGTGCGGACTGGGGAGATCATCTCGCTGCCCACTCTGGGTTGCTGATAAAGGGCTCTGCACGTGGCATGAGGAGCTGAGTGACTCGTGATGGCTTCTCTTGTTCTCTTCCCAGTTCTTTGTGCATATATTTCAATGCACAAAATTAATCTGCCTGTTAGCGTGCCCTAACGGCTGCTTTTCACTCTTTAGCTAGTGGAACTGCTATGTGGGATTAATGAAGTCAGCTCCCCAGATATAGTTAAAATAAAAGTAGATTTATCACTAATGCACTAGCATATGAACTGGAGACATAAGTTACTGACAGTAAGTGACTGATCAGAGTAAAATGTTTGATTATTGGAGGAATGATGTCCACAGTCTTTGGTATGGGTTTTCTTACATATTATACATATTTTGTACCAGTCACTGCCAGGCAGAGCTACTGTGCTAGTGGACTGCCCCTTGCTCCTCTTCTAGGACTACTGTTATTTTTGTGTAAGGATTTGTATCAATCACTGGTGCAATAATTTATAATTTAAAAAATGTCCATGTATAATTGGGGCAGAAATTTGAGTAAATTGAATGAAGAAATCGCATTATCACAAATTTTGCATTATTTATATTCATTTTGGATCACTGGCAGAATATAAATGTCAAACAGGGAGATTCATGTTTCCAGTGAATGGAAATCAAAGATTCATCACAGTGCTAATCTTCACTTTGAACACCACGGTTTAGCCGCCCCACTTCAAAAAGGACAAAGCAAAGCAACAGAAAAGGTCCAGTGATGGGAACTATCAGAGGCACAGGAACAGGGGCTTCTGTGCAAGAAGAGATGAAGATACTGGAGTTAATTAATGCACGAGGCCATTTTGACAATCCTCTTCCCCTGTGCCATATTACAGGTGCTGGGGCAAGATTCCATGACATTTAAGGGAAACAAATTTAAAATAGATAAAAGGAAATACTTTCTTAAGGGCTGTAATTAATGCAAGGAAATGATTGTCATGGGACGCTGAGGATGGTATCATTTTAGCCGTGTTCAAAATGAAGTGCTGCCTGCATACTTTATGCTGTACAAAACAGGCACATTTATAGTAAGTGGAATAGTATTGTCAAGTTAAACTCACACTAAATACTAGCTCTCATGTTTCAGGGTAAAAATGGATTACTACTTGGAGCTGGGAATGATAGGGTTTTTTCTTCTTTGCTGCAATACTGAACCATTAGCCTTTCCCTGAGGAAAGATACTGGTTTAGATAGGAAGCATGAGGAAAAAAACGAGTAATTTGCCAAATATCACAAATGCTGCCTATGTTGAGTGAGCCAAATGGCTCTAAATGGAAATTGGAAAGTATTCAACAGAGCTGGGAGAAATATGCGCTATCATCAGGTTAGCAGTGGAAGAAGACTTGGACAAAGTTGTGAGAAACCACATCCTGTTTATTGTGTGAGGTGCTGTGGGGATTCAAAAGCAGGGGGGATTTAAAGAGCAAAATGAAAAGGAAACCTTTCAGCCAGGAGAACTGGATGGTTTATAAGCAGGTCTGGGTAGGAGATGAGGGGGTATGGGACTGAGAAAACTCTTTTGTGGTCTCTTGGTACACAGCAGGGTTTTCCTGTTTGGTGGCCAAGGCTTTTACTAGAGTTTAGTAGGCTTGAAATGCCTTAGTCAAGTGTTGTACCATTTTTTCTGGGGTGTCAGTGCTGCTAAACTGTAGTGTTGCACTCAGCTAGTTCAAGTCCAGTTCAGCTGTCCCTAAGCTACACCGAAGTCACTACAGTAAATAAATGGTAGACCTGTACTTAAGTCCAATTAAACTGTTCCTATCAACAGGAAAACCAAATGCAATACAGTGGAAGCAGAATTAACCACCACATAAAGATAATCCTTGTCTAGGGAAAGAAAGAGTAATTATTACTGAGCTACATGTGGAAAAAAGTAGTTGTTTGCAGGGTAATCCATGTATATTTGAGGTACATGTAATGCACCTCAAATGCACTAGGTTTTGCCTTCAGGATTTTATAGCCCTGAGGGTGGGAAGAGGGATGGAGTTTGAAGCAGAAACTATTTTTTTTTAACCCTGAAATGAAAACTCTTATAAGACAATTCTTGTTTGAAATAATTTAAAATAAGGGCTTAAAACTTGATCCTTTTGTGGAACACCCTGCAGACCCTGCATGTCCAGGGTTTTTTGCCTTCTCAAGATAACACAGCCAGGCTTGCTGAACATGTCAGCTCTGAAAGAAAAAGGACCAATGCGTTGTACTAATGGCACCTGCATAACTGATCCATGCCTGTGAAGGTTGCTCTGTTCAACATGAGCTGGGTGCGGGCAGTAGGTTCAGCAAAGCAGTACGCCAGGCGTGTTGCCCATGCAGAGTTGCTGCCTGTAATAATGACTGTTTGCCTGGCATATCCAGCTACCCAGTGGCCTGGGCTGCCAAACATCCCAAAATGGGGGAGATGGGTGTTTGGTGCCGTCGAGCCATACATCATCATTCAAACAGTGATGTGCCAACCCATCAGCAGAATTAGCAGGTCTCCAGAGCAAATGTGCCTGGACAAGGACATGGCAGGGGACGATGAAAGACAGCCAGTTAACATAGCTCTTAATGTCACCTTAAATGTTTCCTCCTCCTCTTTGTACACTGGGTCCTGTCTGGCCAGAGAAGTCATGAATTCGGCAGTCCTCAGTGGCTTCCTGGTCATCTGTAGGAGGCGTAGCTCGCTCAGGACAGCCTGCACCGCCTGGATGATGTGTCCTTGGGTGAAACCATCGGACACCTTTGCTAGGCAGCTTATGTTCAGCAAGTTGGTGATTGCTCCACCGTTCTGCAGGATGATGTGTTTCCATAACACTGTTCATCAGGACCCAGAAAAAGAGAGAATGCCGAAGACATGCATTAAGGAAAACAGGAGAAATATTTTTGCATTTTGAAGTTGAAGCAGGAAAATAAGGGGTATCAGCCAGGAAAGCCAAGACTCAAATCTTCCTTGTTTGCTGTTTCTTTTGTCTGTAGATTTGCAGTATAGCATCTGTTCTTAAACCATTAGTGATCATTTGTTGGCTACCAGTCAGTACTTTTCAGAAAGTCGTTAAGGGCACATAAAGTGAGGTGGATATGTGTGTAGAAATGGAAAGAACTACTTAAATATGCCTGTGTGTATACACAGAAAAAGAACCTGTCCAGAATGTTCCCATTTGGGTGTGTAGAGTTAAGTAGCTATATTAACAGCCTGTTGTTACTTCCACGACCCTGACTTCTGGTGAACTGAGGGCTGCTATGGGGACTCAATGTCTGGTTTGGAAGCCAAAGAAGCTAAAGGCTTCCAGCTATGCAGGCACATCTTGCGAAGGCCAGGTGTAAATTTCTGTGATTGGCATTTTGCTTGTTATTTAAATGGTGAACCTGTTTTTATCTTCTAGCTGTGAACCTCTGTGACATGAAGGTTTTCTTAATGTTTGTGAAGTGCCTGAGATTTTGCCTCCCAAAATAAATTAATAGGAGTAACAACACTTCTTGTTTTATCCTATGTAAAGTAATGGTCTGTCTCAGAGAAACTTAGTAAAACTTGCATGCCATCTCACTATGCTTTCCTTTGAAGCCTTATATGAAAACATGAGGAAAAAATAATTAGTATTATGCATAGAGATTAAAAACGTTCTTGAATGAAACAATTTGTGATTTGAGTATCGTGCATTTGAACACTCATATTATGAAAATGTTGGGAGGAAAGTTAATGGTAATGGATGTTGCAGCACTCATGTAACGGAGAAAACCTGCCTTATTCTTCCTTCGACTGCGATGTCGATACTATGGACTTGTGCCCATAACTATTGACAACTTTGTAGTACATTTTCCACTCAGGCAAATTGTGATCTTCCACTTGAATTACATCTATGCTCAATAATTATTGGCTGAATCACTAATTCATAAAAGAGGAATTGATGCGCACAACAGTGAGCGCTACTTCTGTGCAGCCATATATTGTGTGCCGCAGGCTGCAGGTAGGATCATGCGTAATAGGAGGTACTAACTTGCTGGGTGATTAATAGCAAGAAACCAGTACAGGATCGTGAATCTTCCACTTTAACGATTTCCATTGTATGTTTACTGTTTCCATCGTGCGTAGATTGGAATATTCTGGTTTGTAACAAAAGGGAGGGTTGTAGCAGACAGGTTGCTGTGCACTGTGGCTATTAATGTTTGTTACATCGTGGGTTTTCTGTCAAAACAAGTTTCTTTAGTTCTCAAATTGGGTGTTGGCACTGAAAATTGTCAAGAATGGGAGGTGAGTGCTCTGTACTGTAAAGATCATATTTCCATTGAACTCCAGGGAAGGTTGGAGCTAAAGAGCAAGCCAGGCACTTTCTTAAATGGGACAATGTTGAAGAAGTAAAGCTACAAGTTTAATCTGCTTTAAAATGTCAAGAGTTAACTTCTTGGGGCATTCTTAAGTTTGCAGCTGAAATCCCTTTAGCTGGCCCCATTTTTTTTTTTTTTTTTTTACTCCAAATGAGTGGTGAGAATCCCAGAATGTGACAGTTCAATCCCCAGAAGCGAACACAGCTAAATTCAGCTGCTATCACCTCTGTTCTCTAGGTCTTATTCATGTCCCTTATCTGTTAGCAATTTATCAGAGCTGTAACATAACATGAAACACATGTTAGCTTGCTTAGAGACCATTTCCCATCCACACTATGAAAATTATTGAACGTGGGAGAGATTTACAATGTGCTAGGCAGTCAAAACCTGTCTTGAGCTTGCCCAAACATGCATCTTCTCAGTACCTTGGCTGCCTCCATGAAAGGCAGTATGAAACTGGACTTCACAATACAGTTGCATGATTTTTGTAATAAGGTGACTATGCAGAGCAATATTGTAGTCAAGGTACAATTGTGTAGCAAGGTCCCTGAACTGAATGTGGTTTCCTTTACTACCGTGTTCTTCTGGGACATGATCTACTGGATCAGTGGCATGAAGGGAGCCTGTTTTCCTTGATGTGGTGATCAATAGAGATATTCATGCTAGGAGCTGCTGGTAGGAGAAGCGCACCATTGAGAGTCCTAACTTGAAGTGTTTGGTGCCATTCTGAATAGCCACAAACCTTTTTTCCATATTATCTTTAGACTGAATCTAAACAGCCCTTCTGTTCATGAGTTACCCCATCCAGACTCCTTAGTACCCTGGAAAGTGTATTAAACCACATGATACCTGTGATTAAACCACAGGAAAAAAAAAATTTATATTTCTGGGAACAAAAGCCCCTCTACCAGCCACTTCTGAAGGATGTGGACAAACAACCATTTTTCTTGTAGTAACTGATGCACATTATTAAGCTTAATTGGGAGCATTTCTTCTCAGTCAATGGTGAGCTATTGCAGGCTTCCAAGGTGATTCAAATCTGAAAACAAACCTGCATTCCTGGAAGTTTGTCTCTTTCTAGCCATGTAAATTGGTCTAATAAAAGACACTGTTTTCCTTACAAGCTTTGAGTCTCAGCCTATGGGGTATTCAATGAATTTGTCAGACTTTGGGAGGGCCTGTCTATCACTGTAAACATTTGATAGACTAGACATGCAAAATCTTGGATGCCTCTACAATTTCTCTCATGATCTGTAAGTACAAAAATGGAATCTGATAGCAACAAAACTCAGTCCTCCAGACATGGCTCTGTTTATGGAGAGGTCCCGAAGTATATTGTTTAGAGTATGGGAACTACATAGGAGTAACAGAAATTCAGAATCCCTGTGTAAAAAAATAAAAGCTTAAAATAGAAAATGGGCACTGAAATAGGATCTTATCCTTCATACAGGGGAAAAACCAGCTTGGGCTGAACTTACTGCACACTAAACTCATGAAAAAATGTTAATCACTGCTGAGCAGTATTTTAAACTCTTCTCCCAACTTGCACTTCTATTATTTGATCTTTGGGGGTAGCCTGTATCAATATTACCTAAATTTTCAGGAATTGAGATGTACCTGGGGTGTGAATTGAGTTTAAAGTCAGTTCTGAGGATAACCAGACAAAATAAGCATGGATTTTTAAACAGTAGTAATCATGAGGATGACTTGAAATACTTGCCAAATCTTGAAGCGTAGTCGGGCCTAGGAATCAGAATGATTTTTTGATAAACTTTGCAGAAGGATTTAACATTAGCATCGAAGGGACGGTTGGTGGTTCCCACTAGCAGCACTCTGTCCTGTGCTTTCAAAGCCTTAAGGAATTTGGGGAGGATCTTTTCCAGTCGTTTTGGGTTCGTCTTCAGCATGTACATGTAAATACAAGGAGGAAAGAGTTGTTACTAATGCTGACAGTTGAGTTAACGAGGTGTAGTTGTAGACATGCTACATGCAACAGGATTTTGTGCTTTTAGTAGTCTAGTTGCATTTAGTATAAGCAGACTAGATGCTGAACCTGAGTAGAAAGCCTCTGTCTTCTGAAAGTCAGGTAAGCACTTGGTTTCTGCTTAGGTATTTGTGGGTTTGTGCTAGTGCCTTTCACTATTGAATTTGCTGGTCCTGTTACTGAAAAGCAGGAAGGAAACAACTCATTTAAAAGAAGGAAATACTGATTTCCAGTGCAAGGAGAAATATTGCTTGGACCTGTGCACCTGATGAACCTTAACAGATAGAAAAATTGCCAGGGTATGTAACCTGTTCTGGAATCCTCACAGCTCTTGGAGGTAAACCAACTCCTGCCCATGGTTTAAATGTGAAAAATACAGTCCCTAATTTTCACTGTGATTTTTAGCTTGCTGAGGCTCTAACCTGAGGACACAAGCTCTTTGAATTCAGGATTCATTTCTTTGCAATAATTTACTATTGGACTTTATAACAAATATTTAACTACTATTTACAGAACAGATGAGTATCGAGCAAAACCTGTTATTGGATAGTTATGTTTGATAATGTTCAAGTGACTATTGGTTGGAGAAGCTTAATCAAATTGCTGTGGTGTCACTCTACTGTTAATAAAGCTGTAAGTGAGTAACTGTGTTAGGATAGTGCATCAGAGAAGTGTAATGACTTGGGCCTCTTCAGAAATGACTGAGACTTAACATCCAAGTCACCAACACTCACTTGAAAACTTTATTCTTTAGATCACCTTGTGGTTTTTTTTTGTGGTTTTTTTTTTGTTGTTTTTACTATATAGTAGGCAACTACCTGAGAAACTTGAGCTTCAATTTCAGATCAGCCTTCCTTAATGTCAGTAAGGAAGAAACTATGTCCTGCAAACCTTCTCAGCTGAAAGGCAATAATAAACACCTGTGAATCTATATTGCATGTACAATCTTTGTGATCCAATGTTTGTTTTCTGCAGTAGCAGATGGCTGACAGAAAGGAGACAAAACTCTGTTCTTTGGCGTGAAAGCTACAGAGGAGCAGAAATTGGGAAATCAATAAGAAATCCCCAAAGTCTTGGGGTAGAGTCACACAGCAATTTTCTAGCTAAACTTGTCTTAATTACAATATGTCTGTTTTCTCTTTCTTTTTATTCTCATGGTCATACTGTGCATCTTCCTAAGTTTGCCAATTGCTTAATCATGATAATGAGTTGAACATGTCTTAGCACTGGGGCTTAGGTTCTACTTCGGAGCATGGGCATGTTGCTTGCCTGGACAGTGCATCCAGCTCATACTTTTGCTCTTGGATTAACTATTCTTGTGGCCATTACTCAATGCCAGCTGCCATCTTTTTATCCCCTCCTTGTCATACCTATGCACCCAATGCTCCCAGGAGAGCAGGATGCCTGCACTTGCTCCCAAAGAAGGTACCTTGTAAGCACAGTAGGTCTGCCCTAGAGCAAAGGAGAAGCCTTGGCTTTTCTCTTGCTCCGAAAGAAAGGATGTTGCTCTGTCCGAACAGTATGTTTGCTGTCTCAGATCACAAGCTCTCATCCAAACTTTGCCATTCCCTTGTTGGGAAGCTTTTGGTAATGAACTTTACTTCTCTGATGATTAAACAAGCTGCTGTTATATATCTACCTTAGAAGTTTTAGCCAATCTTGCCACCCTTCCTCTGTCAGGGAGATCTGGTCACAGCAATGACTGAAATGTGGATTTACTTTGTTTTTAACACATTTTTATGCTGGCTAAATTACTCTCTGTGATTTATATATATCTGTTGCTACTCATAGGCTTCAAGATTTCCTCCTCTTCATGTATATTGGAAGGAAGTACAAGTGTTCTCCAAGATGTTTTGAGACATCAATATTGCTAGAAAAGTGAGAATTATCAAATTACTTTAGGTTTGGAGGGGGGATGGGTGGGTAGAGGCACCCCATCTCACTGAAATGACTGATAGACGATAATAGTTGCTTCAAGTGACACATGGTGTTTTCTGGGCTTGCAGTATATCTTCTGCTGGAAAAACTGACTATCAGGAGATGCAGAGAATTTTTAAAACAACTGTCTGACTCTTATTTCACCTCTTACTCGTGAAAATAAGTCCTAATTTAACCCCTGTATTTAGAACTTTAATTTATTTGGGTGATAAATGATATTCATGGATTCCCACTGATCTAGAGTTGGTTACAGCCTATGTTCATTGCTCAGCTTGTAGGAATCTTAATTTTTCAATTTTAAATGATTGAACCAGTATCAGAGACTGAGCTAAACACTCACTCTCAGGTTAAGCCTACTAAGCCAGACTGGCATTTATGTGTCAGCAGCTCCTGTTATGCTTGTGAAACTAATGTACGTCCATAGTGCACACATTTCAGGGTTATGTCCTGAAAGCTAATAATACCTCCTTCACTTTGAAAGAAATGTGTCAATAGCAAGAAGGGCTGTTGAAGAGGCAAGCTATGATTTTGGCCATCATGTGGACCTGAGCTGGAGAAAAGTGGGGTGGACTGTGAAAGTGACCCCTATTTGTTTAACTATGAGTAGCTGAACTGCTTCCACATCACCCTTGGCAACTGGGTTTACCATAACGTAGTTGCTATTGGACTGCTTTGCATCCTTTGGGGAGGACTGGAGAGAGACTAGTTTTTTAGTGGGTATTTGAAGAATTTAAGGCTTCTTTTTATGAGGTTCTGAGTCATGGTGCCAGAAATGTCACACTGGGATGAGCAAAGTGACTTCCACTCACTTTGGCTTCTTAGGGCTGAGCTTAGCTCATCTTCTCCAAAATTCTAGTGCTCCTAAGGAAGGCTCCCCAGGCTGCCAGTTACCACTACCTGTCCCTCCTGTTTCATGCTCTCTGGTTCCAAATATTGGTTATGCCATGAGAACTATCTTGGACGTGAGTGATTTCAAGCCTGGAACCACCCACTCCAACCATAAATGCAAGAGACCTTTTGTTAAATGCCTGCAGGTCTCGGGATGCGATAGCAGGGGCAGAGGTGATACCCTTGACACTGAGGTGCGCAGGACAAGAAATTTTTCCATGCTGGTGGTTATCAAAGCAGTTAAAGATAATGAGTACTCCAGGCAATCTTTGGCCCCTGGTCTTAATTTTACTCCCTATCTGCACTTGCTGTCAAGGTTTGAGCCCAAGAGAAAGGTTCCCTTTTGGTGTGGGGACCACTAGAGGGTATCAACCATTGCACACCTAGCAGCTCATACAGCCCTCATAGAAGTAACAGCCTCATCTGAGGTGATGCTTCATTGGTCTTTTAAAATACAGGCTTGTATCCATCCCACAGTCTAAATGTACAGGACTCACCTTAAGGAAAAAGGTTTAATTTTTCACTTGGATCTCTAAAAGTAAAATATTTTGCAAGCAGCATGAATCTAATCAGGATTTCAGGTGAATTGCTCTCTGCTGCAGTGGTTGAGTTGCCGTGCCTATTGGGCAGTGTTTTAATTTTCTTTCTTGTGGGGAAGCTACACAAGAGAGGAAGGAATGGCAGTAGGACTCCTGGGAGCCCAAAGAAAATAATCTGTAAACATAACTATTTAACATAGGCTCTTTGTTTTCACAGTGGAAATTTATCCTTGTTGCTTCATTGTTCACTTTGGCTCCATCCAATTTCTCAAATTAATAGAGCTGAACAATTTCAGCTCATCATAACTTTTAGTTTCTTGCCTCATATTTCGAAATTCTCCATTATTCTCTTCTACTTTTCAGTGCACTGATGAGCAGTGACTGGACTATTTTTAAATAAAGCAAGTATAGGCATAGGAGAGAAATGTGACCTCTTGGGGGCTCTTGAAGTCACAAGACTCTCTTAAAAGAAAAAAACTGTTAGTGAGGCAAGCTATTATCAAGCAAGCTTTGGCAGGTCTGGTCATACTGGTATGTGCTAAGCTAAGAAATACACTTGTTCCTTTGTGTTGGTTGTAACGCAACAGGAGAAATTATCTGCACCGAAATAAAAAAGGAGCAACTGACCTCTTCAGCCTTCGGTGCTGCTTTGGAAAATATTTTTTCTGTCTCTCCAATCCACACGACTGAAGGCTGCAATTGCTTAGCCACCTAAGAGAAAATGGGGGAGAGAAGGCAAGAAGTTGATTAAAATGGCTACAATTTCATACCTGGGTGCCTATAATTATGCTTTTGAATCCATATTTCAGCAGTTAAAATTAGCCAGGATTATTTTTTTTCCAGAAATGTTCAGTGTTCATAGATAGCACTGGGTCTGCTCAGCAGCCTTGGCAAATCAAACTGTTTCTAGTTAGGAATCTAACATTAAGAACCCAACCCAAACTGGATCATTTTGAGTGCTATGCTTATCCTCCATTTCTCAACCCAAATTCACTTGCAGTTCTGCAAAAGGAAGCCTGGACTTGGAGTTCAGTGGCAAACAATAGATCACTAGCAGCTTTAGACTGACTGCCCTTGCTGGTAGGATCCCTCCCTGGTTTTCCGAGGGCGATACAGAGGGAGAGACAGGCAAGACATGGCTGTTGCATGAGAAGTGAGGATACTAATCTTTAAGCAAAATAGGCTGATGTGCAATCTTCTAGCTTACAAAATAGCATTTAATTTGCAGTTAGCCCAAGAATTAAAACAGAGCCTGTTAAATTTGAAGGGGGGGGTCTATACAAATGGCCTTTCTGGCTCCAAAGTCAGAGGCACTATACCTCTGGTTCACAGCAGGATGGCAGCAATGCTACAGGCTTTTTCACATTTTGCACTCTCCCTATTGCTATAGAAACGCCAGTGGTTTAGATTTTCTGCTGCCAAATTTTAATCACTTTCCAGTGGCTCTCAGAGCTATATTAGTTTGCTCAGCAACAAAAGTGATGGCTTGAGGAGTCAATGGGTAATGAGAGACAGACAGCATTCTTCTGTCCCGCTTCCCCCACCCATCCTGCCCCCACCCAGTTGAAACTGCTGTTTCCAGGAAGGAAGCTTACAAAATCGACAGATTGTATACATCATAAGCTCAGTGTCTGATTGACAGCCAGTGCAGGAAGAATTAAGTCATGAACATTTTTCTTCAAAGCACCACAGTTCATTTTTATGGACACATATCAAAAGCACCAAGCGAGTGTGTGGCTGTACAGTAAAAATGGATTGACGATAGGAGAAAAGAATAGGAGATGAGGGCTGTTAAACTTGTTTGCTCTGCTGTGCTGCTGATGGGGTGAACTGGCAACAATGCCATCTTCAGCATGTGACACTTTATTTGTGGTAACTCATCAGTCCTAGAATATGTCAGGTGGTACCTCCAAGTTCAGAACCATTGCATTGAGGAAAACTGAGCTTCCCCCTTTGTTGAAAGGCAGGAACTCAAATGTTTAGCATTAATAATGAGGATTTAAAAAATAAAAACACCATATAATAAAAGATAATATGAAAATCTTGCAGAAACTGACATGTGGACCCAGGCAGTTATGTGAATGTTTATCTGCATGTACAACTTAAGGAGTAACTTCTCAGTCCAGCAGTGTGTTGAGTATACAAGCTGGAATGAAATGACAGATTAAAATTGTACAGCAATAATATCTGCCATTTTAAGGCCAGAGGGTTTTTTTATCCATCTCCTCTTTATCTATTTTCAGAGGTATGTTTGACACATTCCTAAGCCTGCACGCACTCTGCAAAGTACATTTGAGAGGCCAAGTTTGTGGCTTTCGTTGAACTGAGCTGTGCAGCAGCCTTAGACTCGGGTATTTTCTGCTGAGTATCCTACTAGTCAAGGGCTCAGACACCTGCAGAAAAATGCGTGTCAGTCCTACTGATTCATACTTGCAGGTGAATTCGGTTAGCTCCTGGATGTCTGTAAACAAGCTTGGACACAAGTGGTGAAAGAAGTGTAATGTGGTAGCATGATTATATAGGAGAGATGGGATAACTGACATTCTTTGTAAAATTAAGGCTTGGAAAGAAAAATGTAGGTGTGGTTTAAGTTGCTAAAAGAAACCTACAGCTTAAAGAGCTGCATTTGCATTTCGTGCACCCACTATGAAATCTACTGTGACGTGTGGAAACTTTGACTCGGAGACCCCTACTGAACTCGGCACTGCTAATGAATGGATTATCAGCTGGGGCTTTCTGATGTTTCTGATGGTGACTTTTGCCTTCTGAAATATAAGATAACAACCATTTTTCGCTCCCACTCTGTGTGTGTGCCTGGTGAGGATGTCAGGAGGGAGATGAGGCAGTGGGAGACTGTTCCCCTTGAAGCCTGCCTTTCCCCTGAGTGAGGACTGGGCTGGTGGCACGCTGTCGACTCCTGTTCATAGACTGTGCGTGCACGCATTACCAACCCAATAGGCTTTGTCACTGTGGGATCTGCTGTTATTGTGGTGCTTTTCCCCGCTTTGCTTGTGTTTATGACCTGTTAATGTCTCAGCTGTTGACAAGGGTTACCTCCCTGCTAATGTTAAGGCAAAGAGGTGCTGTGCGTTTGCTTCCTAAGAACAGTCCCCTTTTGGTATTTTTGCTTTGTGCGGGTAATGCAGCTGTACGATGTCTGGGGAGGTGCGTAGCTGTTCTGCAATACAGTCTCCATACCTGTGTGTCTGATGATGCAGTATGATGTGACAAAGGGAATAAGGGGGGGGCAAGGGTACAGAGGCTATAAAAGTTGTTGGCAATGCTTGAACTCTGCTTGGGTACTTCAAAGGGAACCAAGTCGTCCTTTCAGTGGGGCCACTGCAGTCAGGGAGGTGCTGAATCTTCCCCATTTGGCTCAGAGATGACTTCTGTGGTTAGAAGCCCTCTAAAATGGAGCCTTAAGTTTTAAATCAGACTATACTTTCATTTTAACTATTAATGAAGAATGCTTACTGTTGTCATACCTGTCACCTTTTTTGTCCCTTTTATTTCCCCACTAAGTGGAAATACAATGAATAACCTCAGGTCTGGCTCTTTCTTCAACACATACTTTCCTGTGCTTTCTGTTTTGAGGCAATGCTCTAAATGTATAAAGTGGCCTGCATATATTTTTCTGGTGCTGATACACGTTAATGTGACCAAATTCAACACACTGTGGGCCCGGCTGTTTCTTTTTTTTAAAGACATATCAGACACCCAGAATCCATTGGCATCTAATTTAAATTGTTGGCAGATACGTAGCAGACTGTATATCCCCCGTGAAAGTGCTTCATTTGAATTATCCATGGACAGTTTGAATCCATGGATAATTAAATGCACTGTACATAATTAATTTGTAATTGAAATTTTATTAGCTTTGCTGCATTCCACAATTTGTTGGAGCTGCCAGCAGATGGCTCCTTAACCCTTCTAATACCATACTGACCCAGAAGCTGCCTGCGCAGCAAACCTGTCTCTGATGGGTCACCAAAGCTTGATTTGCTCTTCAGGAAAATCACTGAGAAAAAGCCTTCTCATCCTGCTGTCTGTCAACATGCAACAAAGATCAAACGGCATTTTTGAAAGCCTTGGGTTAAACTTTTCAAACTTGAGAGCCAGAGTTTAACAGTTAAATTGCTACACTTGAAAATACAGAAACTTGATTCTTGCAGGGCACATGTGCACAAGGCTCCTCCAAACTTGAAGGCTTTGATGGAATTTTTTTAAAAGGCCCAAGACTAAGGTTTTCTGGAAGCTCAAGTTGTTGCTGAAAACCGCTCAATACTCTGTAGCTTATAATTACAGAAATGCTTCAAAGCAGCAAGATGCTGAAACCTGTGATTAGACCTTATCTGTGGGAGCCTCACCAGGCAAATATTCCAGTGCTACAGTGATGATGTCACTGTATTCTGGTTTGTTAGATACAAAACAACTATAAAATACTGTCTTCTAACAGCATGCATTTCATTTTTTGACACTAGAGTAACACAATGTAGAGCTGCTTTGTCACAGAAATAACACTGTATATTTGAGTACTGGTGGTATTGAACACTTCAAGGATCTAGGCTTCTAGCAGACTGAACTGTACCAAGAGAAAAGCATTGTTCTGGGATGCCTGGAAGAAAGGCTGACTGTACTGTTCCCAAACCTCAACTGTAATGGAAAAGTCTTGTGTGGCATGGAAATGCTAAATACAGAGTAAGGTACTAGGGTAAACTGTAGCTGGTTCTTCAGACTGCCAGAAAAATTACCTGTCTGAAGGGACAATACAGCAGTGGTTACGAAGAAATGAGCCTGATTCAGTGGGGAAAAAAAAAAAAAAATTAACGACAGACTTCAAAAATTATGTTGCCTCTAAATGCTGGGATTATATATTTTAATCTTAAATAAACTTAATCATATTCCTTTTTTGGTATAACACTTTCATAGTCACCTCTGACTTGCTAAATAGCCTAAATAAATAGCCTGACAACAGAGTCCCCTAACAGTGATGGTGTTGAAATATTTCTGCAGCTTGCTGCTCTGTAAAACTCCTTGCTTGGTAGAGACGGCTTGCACAGCACATGCTGAGCTGTTGATACACATACACGACTTCTCTGTTGGTATTTCCTCCTAGCCACCTCTTTCCCAACCTTTTAGCCTGGTCAGTGTTGCACTAATAACATTTTCCCATGTGTGGCTTTTTGTACAATGTGCTTTCTGTGTGCTGCTGCGGCCCTGGTAAAGGACGGGAGAGGGGTTGTCTCACTCTGGTAGTGATTAACCTGATGGCTGCCTTATGGTTGCTAATGGAAGGCCAGTGCTTGTCATTTTGATTGCCTTGGAGTTAAGCCTTATGAACTACCTGCATTTTAACACTTCTGTGTTGCAGAGTCAGGCATTCTATCTCCTTGATCCTTTCTGGATTTGTTTTTGTTTCTATGCATCCTTCACTATCCTTCTTTGCATCTTTTATATAAGCTGTTGTACTGCAGCAGTGTTTTGTGCCTTGATGGGAATGCGGGAGAGCCAAGCTGTCGGTTGGTACAAGCTGGTAGAGAGCTGAGTTGAGGCTGGCTTAATGCATGGAAAATGTGGCTTGATTGAAATATTCCAGCACGTTCTGGTACACGCTTGAAGGATGAGTTTTGTTTTGGGGACTGCTGGGAAGTGCTTCTATATTAGAGACAGATTCTCTCTTTTCACTCTGAAGCAGAGCTGACCTGGCAGGGTTTGCTGTGTCTTTATGGAGAACACAAGTGCTCGGGCTTGGTGTTTGCAGCTTCTCTCAATAGTTTTCCTATTTAATATTAATCTTTGTTACATTGCCTTTGAATAGGCAGATTGAAATGTTGGTGTGTTCCTGTTCTGGTATGAGAAGTCATTTCTTCCGTATGACATTTTCAAATGCATGCTTTGAGTAATACACAAGCCTCTCATTTGGATCAGGGCTGGTATGTCTCTTGCAAGTCTCCTCCCAAAATAAGGGAGGGGGGGGAAAAGAATTTGGCTTTTGCATCTGAAACAAATTAAGTTTTTTTTTTTTTTTTTTTTTTTCCCCAATGCTATTCACTTGCATAGGGTGTCTCCCACGAAACAACTGCCAGCAGCCAACACTCAGTTATGGACAGAAAGTTTCCTAATGGTCATTTTATGCTCTCCAGAGTTTCCTTTCATTACAGAAACTCTGTTGTTTGCAGATGCGATAAGTAATCGAAAGTGCAAGGTTACTTCACCTTTATCACAGAGCACCATTAATTCTTTTTTACTAAATCCTGGTGTTTAACGATGGTTACATGGGTCATAAGGTAACAGAAAAAGAACTGTCATGTTTCCTGTCATTCACTTACAACTGTAAGTGGAAGGTCTGTATTCTGCTTGACTAACTCTCTATAAAGGCACTTCTGGAAAGGTGGAGTAGAAAGCTTGCTTGACAACAGTTGCAGTTGCTATTTGCAAAAAACATGACCAGAAGTGTCTGATTATGGAGATGTGGTGAATCTTTCAGCGATCATCTGCACACAAGGCACTTCAACAAGGTATACTATGGTATGTCATAGTAGACTGAGAGCTGTGAATATTAAATACTGCATGTCAGCTGCAAGATGCCATTTGCTTTCATGGCTTGTCTGCTGTATGTGCCACTGTATATTGTAGTCTTACAATAATCCAAATATGTTTACACCAGACTTTTTTTACCATGGTGAAAAATAAACTTCTTTTGGGCAAATACCAGTGTTCAGCTTCCTCTTGTCAAGGTATTTGTTTTCAATTTGTGTTGCCCTTGTGTTTGCTTCAGCTTGAATAACAGTAAATTCATGTAAATCCGGATATAAAAGATTCCTTATCCTTCGATTCCTTGTGAAACTTTTTCCCTAACACTAAACAACTTCCCTTGCTGCAACTTGTGTCCATTGTCTCTTCTTTTGTTGCTGTGCACCTCTGGGAAGAGTGTGGCTCTGTCTGTATTATCCCATGAAGCCCCTGAAAACAGCAGTTGGAGTCCCTTTCACTCCAGCCTTCTCTTAGGCTGGAACAAGTGGATTTGTTCAGCTTATCTCATACACTTCAGCCCCCTTGTCTTCATGGCTCTCCACTGGACCTGCTTGCTGTGTCTGTCATCTTGTAACAGGGTAGCCCAATACTGGACACAGTGTCCAGCTGTGGTCTTATAAGTGCCAAAGAGCAGGGAATCATTAATTGCTTTAAGATGTTGGCTATACTCTTGCTGATATAGGCCAGTATTTGGCTGACTTTTGCTGTGTGGACATGCTGTTGACTAGTGTTCAACTTGCTGTCCTTAAGAACCCCCAGTCCTTTCCTGCAAAGCTGCTGTCTAGTTGGTGGGCTACGGCCTGGACCTCTTTGTGCTGTTGCATGGAGTTACTCCATCCCAGGAGGTGCAGGACTATGATACTGGATGGGAGCATTGATGTTGTAAAAAAGCAGCAACTGATGGCAGGACAAATGGAGCAGATGGCTGTGGCAGGCACTTGAGAGTTCCCAAAGACAGGGAAAATGAGATGCATTTGACATTGTCAAGGCCAAAAAAAGAGAGATTGTAACTGCAGAGGTGAGAGCCTGTGTGGATGGAGGATTGCTTCCAGCCTGGCTCTGGGAACCTACAGAATCTGAGTCTAAATCATCAGCAGATTGGACAAATCAGTGACTTGGCCATAGGGACAGAAGGCAGCAGGGAGAGGTGAAACAACCAAAGGAATTAGGAATGGAAATTGAGCATACTTGGTTTGAATGATGCTAAGACAGGCTGGTGCTATGTCAATATGAATTTGCACAGAAATGAGCATGCAGATGCTGTACCCCTTGGAAAGAGATACTCTGTGCTGTGCCATTTGCTCTGCTGTTAAAGGAGCAGATCTTGGAGCAGTAGTGCTGTTGTAGTTGGAACAAGTCACCTTTTGATAACTGAATGCCTGGACAGCCTTTATTTCATGTGATTGACTGTGAGCAACTTCCATCCCAGTAACTCATGGAGGTTCACCAAAGTGTTACTTCTTCTTTTGTAAGAGCTACAGTAGGGAAGTAAGCTTGGGCTGCTGCCTGTAATTTGGGGGAAGGTGTTAGATAATGTTTCCATTTGTTCTTAAGTAATGTGGAAAAATGTAAGAGTTTTTATATACCTGTGTCTAGACTCATGTATGTGTATACGTGTGTGTACATATATACTTATCTAATGGGTATAGATATCCACACACATTTTATGTATGTTCCAGTTATTGTATAAATTTGTCCTGGTTTCAGCTGGGATAGAGTTAACTGTCTTCCTAGTAGCTGGTACTGTGCTGTGTTTTGAGTTCAGTATGTGAAGAATGTTGATAACACTGATGTTTTCAGTTGTTGCTAAGTAGTGCTTAGACTAAAGTCAAGGATTTTTCAGCTTCTCAAGCCCAGCCAGCGAGAAAGCTGGAGGGGCACAAGAAGTTGGCACAGGACACAGCCAGGGCACCTGACCCAAACTGGCCAGTGGTGTATTCCATACCATGGGATGTTCCATCTAGTATAGGAACTGGGAAGTGGGGGCGGGGGATTGCCCCCTGGGGACTAGCTGGGTGTCAGTCAGCGAGTGGTGAACAATTGCCCTGTGCATCATTTGTACATTCCAATCCTTTTATTACTACTGTTGTCATTTTATTAGTGTTATCATTATCATTATTAGTTTCTTCTTTTCTGTTCTATTAAACCATTCTTATCTCAACCCAGGAGTTTTACTACTTTTCCTGATTTTCTCCCCCATCCCACTGGGTAGTGGTGGTGGGGAGTGAGTGAGTGGCTGCCTGGTGCTTAGTTGCTGGCTGGGGTTAAACCATGACAAAATTATACATATGTATGTATACAAAAATCCTTAATGTCTTCAGCTGGAACCTTCTATAGGAGTAAAAAGGCTGCTCTCCTTTCTCCTGTGTTTAAAGGCCTTGTGCTCTAATGGGGACTAAATGATGGAAAGGATGGTGTGTGTGCTGCGCCTGTAGCCAGGCACGTGCTTTGCTATTGATGAGGGCACAGAAATGAAGTGGAGAAGGGTGAAATGTGCAGAGCAGAGGAAGGAGAGGGAGTATTAGCTCAGTCTAATGCCACTAGCTTGTGTCAGGGAGTGCTAGACCCAGTGCTAGTGTTAAGACATCAAAGGTGCATGATCACAGCACCGTCACTTTTCCTTAGGCACTGCTCTGACCAGCAAGAAACGGGGTCCGTGGGGATTGCTTTGCTTTTAACTGTAAAACCTGTCTTTTCTGGGGATGGAGGCACCTGTCACAAAACCTGCTATAATAGTGGGTTTAATAAAATACATCTGATAAATCCCAGGGAAAGCCAATTTGAATTCAGTCTTTTAGTAGGCCTCTGGCACTGGAAAAATATTGTATTTGGCTTTTTCTAGTGTGTGTGCTTTGTTTTTTCTTTCTAAGAGTATTTTGTCTGGAAATGTTTACCAGCTTCCTTCCTTAGCAAAAATGCTGAGGACTTAAAATGTGGAAGAAATCCTGCCAGGAGTGTCTTTTTTTCTGAAGAGGATTTGGGATATGTTTTTCACAGTTCATATGCCTTCTTTAATTTCCAGACTTCTCATACGTTTCTGTTAATGTAATCCTGAACTAGGATTCCCTCTTTTGAAAAGCTTGCTGATAGGTAAACAGAGAGCAGTATAGGGGAGAGCTGTTTTACAGCAACAGTCCCAGAGAGGAAATTTTTGACCACCCCGGTCTAGTATTTGATTAAATGCTGCATGGCAAGCATTCCTGACTGATGTGCATATAAATAGAGAACAGAATTTGTTTTATCTATGATGCTTTTCATATTCAAGGTAACACAAAACTTGCACAAATGTTAATGTGAAAAATATGGCTACTATGAGTGATTTCTCAAGGGCCGTTAAATCTTCTGCAGTGGTGCATACACTGTCTGTCAACAAATGGTTTTGAAAACTTGAAAGCAGGGAGGGAATTTCAAAATGGGTTGGCAGACCTTTGGACCTTGGGCAGCTTTGCCCTTGTATGACTGGTATATATGTTCCTTGGTATGGAGGAACTACAATTAAATTCCTTATTTGTTCCACAAAAGATGTGATGAACTGAACCAACTTGGTGAGAAGTACACAAAACACAGTACCTTGAGAACCATGTGAAGCATCATTTGCAGGCCATTCTTGCCTGGATATTTCCCAGCAATGTTGGAAGCAGACAAGTTGAAGAGATTGGCTCCTGTTTCTGTGCAGATGGCATGGACCAATGTTTTCTTTCCAACACCAGCAGGTCCAGCTAGTAACAAGGCTTTCACCAAAGGAGCCTTTTCATGGACAGTTTGGGAACCTGTAAAAAGTCATATGGCACTATTATTGCTTTCATTTAAGTCTGCCATAAAGGTAATGGAATGATTCTTCCTTTTTTCTTCACTGTAAATAATTTATAACATGAATTCATTGTTTCCTTAATATGGCACAAGTGCTCTTTAGTTCAGTTCTGTGTAACCAGAGCTGTGGCTGTAGCATGTTTGAGTTAACATCTCTGTTTGTAGCAAAACTAAACCACCCTTATTTGTACCTTCTGATGGGCAAACTTCTGCTCTAAAACTGCGAGCTAAAAGAAAGGTAATTCATCAGTAAATTTTTGAGGACGGACACAAGGTAAGAGCACTGATATGGAACTGCTGCTGGTGGCTATGTGTACAGACAAGCCTGGTGCTCTGCACAGGGACACTTGCCTTCAATTACACAGCAGTTGTCAACTCCCTCCCTCAGCTGTCAGGCAGAGTTAGAGATGTACCTGCGGCTTTGAGCTTTGCATTTGTTGTCAGAGCAGGTCCTCACTTTCTGCAACTGGACAAGGGCATAGACTCATGTTGCACATAGGACTAGGAGAATTCCTTCCTCCTGCTGCCTGAAATGACAATTTCCAGCTTCCCCGTCTTTAAAGAAAACAAGCTAATGGGACTATCTGTTGGACCTGTGTTTGTCAGTGATTTTGAAACCAGATGTTACCATGTGTTTTATTTGCTCTTCTTTAACTTCTGCCTACACCTCCCTTTTTTGGGTAATTTTTCTTCTTAAATGCTATTGCTGTTCAGTGAGCATTGGAGACTGACTGTCACTTGAATAGCTGTGCTCCAAAATCCTTCACTGCTGATATCACCTCTAAGCACACCTGCTGAGAGTAGTGTTAGCTTATCTGTAGAGGAGCCAATGTTATTCCCCAGTCTGGAACATGGCAGCTGCATGCTACAGAGTAGGTATGACGTATCTGCTACAAGAAGGATCCTTTTCTGTTCCCTTAATTTTATTTGGGTGAGCAAATGCAAATGCCAGGGCTGCTATGCTTCACTTGCTCTGCTAGCAGCAGTGACTGCTCAGCATTTCTAAATCTGTCTCTCTGGCTCCTCCAGGTAAATTCATTCTGGGCTGTAAGAAATATGCTCCATCACCTGGGAAAGCCTAGTAGAAATGCCTGCATTGTGGAAACAGAACCACAGAGAGAGATTTAGGTGGTTGGTGGTGATAGAACTTGTCTTCCCTGCAGCTCTGTCACTGTATGAATTAGGCACAGGTGAACCTCCAGAGATGGAAGTAGCAGGGAATGTCAAATGCTTTGTCCTTACCCACTGATAGTCCAGTAACACCACTGCCTGTGCCTAAAAATGTCCTGTATCAGTAGTGGTGGTTGTTACAAAGTCAGATTTGAAAAATTTGTGTGAGCATCTGCTACTTCTGAAGAAGAGACTGGTGTCTATCCAGACTATGGGACTAGTGGGGTAAACTGGCCCCGAAAGTGATGAGCTGCAGAGGGAGCCTATGGCTTAGCCTGGAAAAGTTATCCAGGTTAAGGGGGACAGCTAGGTAAGAATGGTATTTAAAAACAAATTCAATCGGGCTGCCTATCTGTGTCCTAATGGTTTAATGTCCCAAATAAATGACAATGAACTGAGTGCTAAGATGAATGCCATTATTTCAGCACTGTGCAGGATGTAGTGAAGTTGTCAGCCACCCAGGCTTTATTAATATTTGGTCGTTCCATACCAATCTATTACTATTACACACAGATTTATTATGAGGGGAGCAGCAGACTCCTCTGTGGTTAAAGATGAAGTATATCTTCTACTATTATTTCTCCTTTCAGCTGCTTATAATTTTCTCAATGCCATTTAAGCTGGAGCCTTCCTTGCCATCCGGTGACTATTTTGAGAAAAACTTCCACTTCTACACATACACAATTACATAATGATTAACTAGTTTTGAGACCAATTAAGTAAAATATCATCCATAACATATCACCCAAAAGGTGAAACCATTCCTGTGCCTTTTTTTTTTTGGCTTATGTAATACCTTTTTTTACTCAAAGGCATTTTTTCAAACTGCTATTGCAAATACTTTTTGTTTGTTCAACTAGTCCAAGGTCTCTTCTCCCTAGAAGTTTTGCCAATTGTATAAATGGCAGGAAAATTTATGGGTTCTCTTTCCTCCTGCCTCGGGGGTGTCATGGGGCTTGATTTCACTAGATTAGATGGTGTTAAAACATAACCTTGGAGGAGTTATCTGATATGTGAAATACCACATTGCAGTCAGTGCAGACAGGGATAACTGCTGAGCACGGTCTCAGCTGATTGCAGTCAAACCTGCAGCCTGCCCCTGAGGGTTTACCTAAAACCATCTTGAGAGTGTTTTACATGGGAAGAGCCCCATCTAGGTTGAAGGCAAGGGTGCTGCTAGCATCCTGTTTGTTAACCTGACTCTTCAGATTGAGCTGTAGGGCAGCGGGAGCACTCTTCTCTGTCCAAAACCTGAATGAAGCAGACCTGTGCACTATTGCACCAAGCTTTCTACAACATATCGAGCCGCTTTGGGGACAGGGGGAGCGTGAAATGCCCAAGGAGAGCCACAGAGCATGGATGTACAGAATTGCCCAAGCACTGGCCTTTCTGGAAGGTGTGTAAAGGGGAGAGAAAAGCAGAAGCTCTGTGTCATCTCTGCTCCATTTGCTAGAATGGGAGACAGGGAGACGTCAGCTATTTTGCCCTATAAAGGGGATCAGCACACAATGATACAGCCTGGGGGAGGATATGGCTAGTTAAAATCTCCCCAATATCCAACAGGAATGGAAAAGGATGCAAGCAAAGTATGAGTAGAGGCCCTTGAGACAGGCACTTCTTGCAGTCTAGAACTAGACTGCAAACTAGAGTTTGGCTTAATGCCATTCCCAAGTTAAAATATGGGATAGATTTTATGTTAAAAGCAAACAACCTGACCCAGCAAAGCCTTGTTAGATGTTGGCTAAGTCTGGCATTAGAACTGCAAGGGCATTTAAAAGTGTTATCTCTGATGTACAAAATGTATTCAGACTAATTCCTTAAATGATTGCATTGTTTAGTACTGAGTAACATTAGCCAGCTTGTAAAAGGTAAATTGCAACCTTAGCCCTTCCCTTAACTTGATTAATTTTGATCACTGGAGCTTGTTTTAGCTATTATCTTTCCCAAGTGATTTCCTTTTATGTGCTGCCATTCACAAACTGTTAACATGCAAACAGAGATGGTATGGAAATGCAATACCTGACAATAGCATGTGCAAACTCCTTTATGCACTATTAAAATGATATGGTCTTCACTCAGAAGGCTTAATTGAAAAACAATTATACTGCAAAATGCTTTAGATTACGATTAATCAAGCCCTGTCAAAGCCAGTAAAAATGCATGTTACTGACAGGAAGCAAAGCCATTGTATTCTGCCCTCTAGTAATTTTTGCTGTGCTCTTACCTAATGGCAATATTCCATACAGTGCTATTAGCTGTCTGACATCTGCAAGAGAGGGCATTGGCTCTATATCTACCTGACGAAGTGTGGTCCCCAGATAGCTGTACTCGCCTGTAGGGAGGAAGCATGGGCTTAATAAATGTGACACTGCATTGTTATAAAATGCATAACTCAAGTAATGAAAAACTACCATAGAATACCAATATAACATGCTCTCAGCAAAACCAGTACTGTCAAGGGACAGGGACTCAAGCAGGGCGATATTGTTGTGGAATGTGGCCCTGAGAAATTTGAAAGGTGAACTGCAAAGGAAAATGAAGTTAAACACACTGTGGACTTTCCCTTCCAGGCTGTGGAAGGTGTTCAGCAGAGCAGTCGGTCTCGAGTAACCTTTTAAAGAAACTTTGTGGAGAAGAATCATTAGTAGCACCAATAAATCACACTGCTGGCAAAAGATTTCTAGATCTGGGATTTTGCAGGGCTGGAATCCCAGTGAACCATGCTCTATCAAAAGGATTTCAAAAAGGGGGAAAAAATATTTTAACAAGCTTTCCCTTGGCTGCATCACATCTCAGCTTCTCACTATGGTAGACATTTGTCACCTAATTTGGTGGGGCTCTTTGCTTTGCAGTTCACCTTTTCTGAACAAAAAACCCAAACCAACCCAACCTCCACAAAACAACCCAAGAAAACTAAAAATCCCCAACATGAACTGAAATGATCTAATCTTCCCTCAGCTCTTGTTACAGAGCCATAATCACGTTGCTTGCTCTGTCAAAGTCCATATACAAGACATGTTAGAGAACAAAGATCCAGAAAGATGGGCCACAAGCAGGAAAACTAGTTGTGACTGTAGTCAATGATTATTTTTTTAGCATGAATTACATTACTGAAAAAATAATAGTATATCATGTTTTATTGGAAATAAAAAGGGAGAGCACTAGAGCTCTCTGGAGCAGAGGTAAATTAGCAATGGTTAAGAGAGAAAGTGGAGTTGTAATTTGGGGGCAAAAAGGCAGACAAGCCCTGGTGCAGCTGCCTCCTCCCCTCTGAAGAATAAAATTCATTTCAGGTTTTATCTTTTATTTAAGGAGAAATCAAAAGAACTGGATAGGAATTAATCTTCACAGATTTAATTAGAAGGCATCAAAGGGTTTAATTGCAACTGAACATAAATCACAGTGGATATTCTCTGACTAATTTAGATAAGGTCACCAAGAAAATTAGTTCAGTGATGTCGGTTTGTCATAGAGGGGGGACATTTCAGTGCCTTTACTTGCTGTGTAGCACAATTCCACTCTTTGTCCTTTTGCCAGGGACTGGGCTTAGACTTCAGCCACGTAAAAGCTGAGCAGATGAGGACTTATTTTTCTGCAGGCTTTGACTGTGTCCTCAGACCCTTAAAGGGGCTTTTCTTGGTAGTAATAATAATAAAAAAAAGTCCAGATCCCAGGCCAACTTTAAATACCTTCTTTATCTTGTTCTGGCAGCTCAAGAAGCATGACTGAGTTTTGAGCGAGAAAGAGCTCTGGCTTTGACAGTCTGGGCCATCTCCTTGCTGCTTGGTCTGCATGGGCCAGCATCTGTGCTGGGACACATGGGGGACCTGGCATGGGTGTAGGCAGCCAGGTGAATATTGCTAGGCTCAGCACTTCTATGCCCAGTATCTTCTGCTGCTGGGAAGTGAATATTGCTGGTGTAACTTGGAGCAGCCCTTGTGTTGCTCTATGCTGCAGAGGAGCCAAGGCTTCAAACCTCAGGGTCAAGGGAAGATGGCCCAAAGCCATCTCAGCCTGTTTCCAAGTTTGTTACCAGCTGTTAATTATTATCCACTGGCTAAGATGTGCTTTAAAAACATCTGTGGTAGGGAATGTTTGTTGGACAAAAGTGACCTTGATGTACTGGTTGGTTGAATGAAGGAATGATGAAAATCTTCCATTACTTTACTTCATGATCTTTAATGAGCATAAAATGGATGGAATACTTGTTAATTCAGCCTTCAACAGAGTAGGTGAAGACTCTGAAGGAAATAATTGGTGCTTCTAAGAGTTTGTCTAAACACGGCATTTAGAGGTGGTGTACAACAATCTAGCTTTTCTGGCTCCAATACATAATGTACTAACAGCCTGTGGCATTGTGGCTTCTGGATGTCTGCAAATTCAAGTAATGGTGGCCTTTGAAACAACTGAATCTTGGGTTTTTTGCTGTTAAGGTTGCTGTGTTTTTGCTGTATGTCTCCAAATGCTTTTGGAGATGGTGTCAGACCTCTGTGTAGCCTTCAAGTGGTTTGGTTTGGTTTTTTTTTTGCTCTGTGTAAGCATAGGCAAGCATGTCTGACTGCAGCTGCGGGTAACAAACTGGGCAAGAGGACTATGAAATGCAGAACTAGACAGAGACACAGCTTCCTCAAATCAAGGGCCAGATATGCCTCAAAGCACTGCTCAAAGTTCATGGGCAGTCAGGGAGGTGGAGGTAAGAGGGCAAGTCTTCTCTGCTGAATGAACAAATGCTGAAGGTATGGTTTTTGCTGTTCTCTGGGAAATACTCTGGATGGATTATGACCCCTAGTCTGATAGACTTGCATTGTCTTGCCAATGCCTGGCCAGTGCTCCTTAAAGGATGTCCTGGTTCTACCTCAGAGTGGCTTGTGACATCCAAAAACATTCAAGGCTTCCAGGTGTTAGTGCTTGGAGCTAACCACCAGCTTTACAAACAGGTCCTGGTTTCAGTAGCAGAAGTGAAAGGTACTAAGCACCCTGCAGAAACAAACTTGATTTGCATACATGGCCTTAGATATTCAAGTTTGAAAGTCCTGAAAGTGTAATTACTCTTGGATTCACTCTTGACTGGAAATAGGGGTCAGAGAACATTGAATGGCTGGAGGTTTGGTTAGATTAAACACCATATTAGCTGTAAAACGTGTACTTTACCAACATAATCGGAGAGATTCACGGTCTTGGCTTTTATTAGTAATCCTTCTTCCACTAGTTCCCTGTACAGAGAATCGATGGTCCTACGGACAAGAGACATCACTCAGAAATTCTAGGGCACTGTAAGTAAAAGCTCAGTCCTTCAATAACTGAACTAGCTTAAGAGTTATTTATGTTTCCTCAGCTTTATAAATGTATTTTGTAGCTCAGAGGTAAAGGTTATTAGTGCCATCAATATGCAATCAATAAATACCGTTTCCTGCGTTATGGCAAGGAATTTCTTTTATTACCTCACAGACTGCATGGCTCCCTCTCACACTGATTCCATTACCCATTTCCAGGTGATACAAGATCAGTTATGACTTGTGTAATAGACTCGTTCATTAATATCAATTACTGGGAAATTATTTTTAAATTATACAATAATAGCAATCCTAACACTACTATACCTATTCACTTAGCTCTCCAATTAGTAGTAATTCATTAGTTCTTCTTGGAATTTATTCTGTTTGCAATAGACAGCCTCATCTTGTCAGGAACATACTGGGAATGACTCGATCAGTGCAACCAGTGGTTCACCTACTGCAGTGTTAGGGTCATGCTGGCCAAAGGAGGATTGAGGGGGGAAAAACATACAGTGGAAACAGGTATAGCTTCTCCAGTGGAATGATTTCTTCCTATCTCCATTAGTGGCTGGAAACAGCTCCCAGTAACTGAGGATTTAATACATGTACATTTGTATCTGGTTTTCTATTGGTGTGGACATTGTCCACACCCTCTCTTTTGGAGTTCTCTCTAAGTATTAATTTCAATGACACTTTTGGCACTAGGTTCAACAGATTGATATTGCTTTAAGGATTACATAAAATGAATATGCCTGTTGGAAATTCTTGTGATATTGTTAGTATAAACAATACTGATTTGAACCTTTTTAGGTCTTTTGCTGTTTGTGCACTTTCACATTCTCTTCCTTCAGTATCTCAGCTTTTTTTGTCTTTGTCATTTATCTTAATTGGGATGTTCTGGTATGCCTACAATAAAAGTATTTAATAGCAGCTCTCAGCTGGCTAATAAAACTACATATATAATTTGAGGTCTGCAGCCTTTTTCCATTTCAGCTGGGAAGTTTTATGTTTATGCAGTTAGTGGAACAATTAGTATAGGAGTAGTGATAAGCAAATACAAAATTTAACACACCTTCAACAGTGTTGATTTTGCCACTTTGACTCTTGCTTTTATTCTCGGTGATTTTATGTTGAGTATGCATCATAAAACAAGCAGAAGGTAGAATGGGACTAACCTGACAGTTCTGTTGGAAGCATGACTTCTACTTTTCCTGTCTTATTATTTTTACCATGCAAACTTAATGATGCATGCCCTGAGTCTCCTCCAAGTAAGTGTGATGTGATCAGTCTTTGTTGACTAAAACCCCCTGTGCCCCCTCCACCATGCCAAAAGACAGATGAACCTGAGCTTCTCTTGGTTATTTCCAAAATGCTTCCTCCCTCCCTGCTCAGCAGGGAAGAGCAAAGCATAGAGCCAAAATGCCACATAAACTCTGATTAAAAGCCAGCTACTAAAATGCTTGTGTTCTTAAATGCCTGTATGTTGTATTAAGTTTATATATATAAGAAGCAGGTATGTGCAAGAGTAACTTTAAAAGCACAGAATATATGCATCCTTGTTAGACTTTGGCACTGCTCTTGTAAGAGAGGTCATGCTCTGCTATAATCCATGACACATTTACTTTAAATATTTGCTTGGAGAGTTTTGGGGTTTTTTTTTGGTTTTTTTTTTCTTTTTTAAAGTGGGTAAGGAGATCATCAACTGATTGTGTAGTGCTAGCACCAAAATGATCTAGTCCAGGTCTTGCTGTGCATGTCTTGTACAAATAGATTTATGGGATGAACCCCATGTGCTTCCTCCTGTAGTGATTGACTGCGTGCATCTTCATGCTGTTCTCCAGCCCTGCTCTCCTGGGAGATGGGTCTGCTCCTGCTGTGCACTGCTGCTGGGTCAGCAGGTCCCAGTGGTGATATCTCTGTGTAGGTGTACCTGTTATGTGTACAGGTGAAAAATGGCCAAATTATCAGTGAATGCATCACGAGCTCACTGAAAATGTAATGTCAAAAGAAGAAATCCTCAAATCCCCCAAATAAAATAAGGGTGCTTAAGAGCAAGGGTACACAAGAAATTGCCAGGTCTGCCAGAACTCTTATTGATAAATAAGACTGATTTATGACATGTACATTATACCTCAGACATGAAGGGTGATTTATAGAGTACAGGGGCCTGTCTGCAGCCTCCCTTATCAGGCTTCAGCTGAGATGGAAAATCTGACAGTCAACAAAACTGCCAGGTGCTTCTGCACCTGCAGAGAGGATGGGGAGGAGGCAAACAGGGCCAATATCCTGCATAAATGTTACATGTGCTTAGCTTTGCATACTGGAATTAACCTGACTGAAGTTAATGGAGACTGGCCCTAGTGGTGTGTTGCAGAATGGAGATCTTAATTTGTATGCATTGTTGAAGATGGGGGGAAAAACAAGGTCTGTACTGTGTAGCACTAAGGCAGTGTTTTGTTGCTCTGTTATTTGTGGTGCTGTGAAACCATCAGTCCGGGGGGGGGGGCGGGGCAGGCAGGCATTGGGAAGGCTATACTGGTGACTGGGAATGCAAAAAAGGTTTTAGCTGAAGTGTATGTGTTTCAAGTCTGTAAAAGATTTTTTTTAATCATCTAGGCTTTTTATGGATATTTATAACTGTTAGTAAACAGGTTTTATATATATCGTAGGTCTCCTGATGCTGGTAAGCGTAGCAGTGTTGAGGTACTCCTTGTGTAATTAAAACCGAAAAGGGTTGATAGCACATCTAATGCAAAGAGGATGCAGTCTCATTGTCTGAATCTCAGGTAAACGGGTCTTCTCTTTACCTGTCAGGAGTAAGATCTTCCTCCACCTCAGGTATCTTTTTCCTCATGGTCGTCTTCTTTTTCTGAGGACCACAAAACCAGGCAGGAATTAGTGACCTTAGTACAGATATATATATTTGAATGTACTGAAGCAAAGTGAGGGCCAGAACAGCAAATGTTTCAGTGTTACTGTTACTGAAGGAACCCAAACAGAAAAAATCACATCCTTGAATGCCCTGAGGGAAAGGAAGTAATGTGCCCATTTATAAAAGCACAGGAGATGTTCCCATTTATAAGTGTCTCATCAAGGTGTGGGAGAGGTGAAGCACCCCTGGGCTGAGGAGCTGTGTCCAACCTACAAGTCTCATGCAGATCCTGTGGCAGGTGCTCTTAAAGTGGACCCTGCATGGAGTAACCTGGTGGCTGCTGCTTCCTTCTAGAATACAGCTGCTCAGGGAGCCTGTATACCTGAGCTGCAACTGTTACCTCCCCAGTGAGCGCCCAAGAGCACCATACTTCAAAGTGATCAGTCCCGCTCCTTCCAGCGGAGGTTGCATACAAAGAATCCAAGGGTCATTTGCTCCAAGAAAAAGCTCTTCTCTCCTTCCTTTTTGGATCACAACTCTGGTTGAGTGGGTATGGCCCTTACCCAAGAGGGAAGCAGGAAGGAAAAGGGTGTGGGGTTCAAGTAGCTGCTCCAGACCATTCATGCCTTTTTTTTTTTTTTTTTTTTAAATTGGCAGCTTCCCTGAGGGTCATGCAGGGTACTTACAGCTGGGCCAGGACCTGAAACCAATGCTCCTGAGTTTCTGGCTAGCCTCCTAACCATTAGACATCCTTCTGCCTTCTCTTTCCTAATGCCTCAGGGAAGAAGCTTGAAGAGGTCAGAAAAACATGACCTGCTCTTTCTACTTTTGATATTTTCACCACACTTTCACTATGGGAAGGTTTTGACTTGTGTGACTAGTTTCTTTACATACTGCAAGAAACCCATGGAAAATGTAAATAAGAAAGATGTGAATCAGTAATGTCAAGCCCCTCCATTAATTACAGCTCACAAGCTATAAATATGGTTAAGGATAATTAGTAGTGGAGAGGGCATCATTAATCCATGTTAGTGCCCACCACTGGTATCCATACTTAGGTTCTGCAAAGCACTTTAGAATTACTTCAGTGGAACTATTTACACAGTGACATTTGTGCACCATGGGATTTCTTCAACAGCTTAAATTTAAGCATGTGCTTAAATACTTAGTTGATCGAGACAGCTTATTCTTTCCAAAAGTTTATGTTCACTTTCTTGGGAGTAGAGTTGTTTACTTTCTTTTTTTAATAGTGAATACTTCTGCAGAGCTCTAGAGGCTATGTTGTTGAGTTAAAAAATCCTATCCAATTATCTGGAAAATGCTGTGTGATTTTTGATATTTTTTTTTTCCCTAGAATGGATTGGCAGTGTTCAGAAATATATCAATTTTAAGTTTCCAAGGACAGTTGCAATGTAAATAACCTGTTACTGTTTACAGTACAACAAAGATAATCTAGATGAATATGAAAATTAAACCCAGAACTATGTGGCTAAGCTAACTGGGAAAAGGTGATGTTTTTAAGTTTTGGATTAGAATATGCAAACAACTCTTGCATCTGTAGAAGTACACCTTGGGTTTCTTTACATAAATAAGCTTGGCAGCAAATACGTGTTAGAATGTGCCAGTGGAGGTTTTTCTCTAAAGAAAAGGAATGGGAAGCACAAAGCATGTGCCATGCTGTTTTAACAACTGGAAATATTGAGACTGTCAGTGGTTTATTTCTGCTGTTCCTCTAGCTTTGTCTCTCTTTCTTCCAACAAGCTAGAAATTACATATCATGGGGTCTGACTGGGAAGAAAAGCTCATTTCTACCTATGTAAAGACACTAAGCATATGCTGAATTTATTGGCCAACTGGTATTGTCCTCAAGGCAGCTTCACCAATAAAGTAACTCAAGAGCAAAACAAAAATGAACTATGCAGGGGAAAAATGTGTCTTCCTAATTAACATCAGCATTTATGGGAAATCTGGCAAACACTGAGATGCGATAAGGGGAAATATGAATTGTAGACAATGGCTTTTCTCCAAAATGTCTTATTGGGAACTGCTTTTATTTAGAAAATGATACTGTTTAATGAATGTGAACATGCTCACCATTTATAACGGAAATCTCCTTGTTTCTATCTCTGAAATGTCAGTCTAGCTTCTGTGTAGCCATCCACTTACTTGGTTATTTTCTGCTTTGATAAGTCACATGTAGTGAACTGCATTAGCTATTAGCTGGCAAATGACAGAAGACTGTCTTCCATGCACAGTGTGGTATCTTGTCTAACTGTGTGGGCTCATGAAAATGTTCTGAGTAGCTCAGAGGTTGCTATGAGCAAATACAGACCTGATTTCAGACTAGATTCCAGAGCAGAGTGTCTCTGGCACCAGAAGGGAGAGCGTAGCCAAAATGTTTCATTGAGAGAACTGTTCCACATTGGAACTACAAGATGTGTGTCACCCTTTGGCTGTGATCATACAAGTCCTGCTGCCATCAGCTGTCGGCAGCTACTGCCACCAAGTATGTGGAAAAGTAACAAGAGGAAAGTACTCCTGTGGTTTAAGGGAAATGACAGTATATAAGCAGCAGGCTATGAAGTGTTTGTGTGGATTCCTTGCATCATGTGTGATGCTTGGATGGGAAGCTGAGCAAGTGCAGATTTGCACTGTGTGCATCTGAAGTATTTTCTGGCAATGCCAAGATATAGAGAGCAGCTTCTGATACTTTTACTGAAAAAGTCCTTGAAGATGTTCCAACTGATTATTAAGCTCTTGCTAAATGAGGGGCTCTGATCTCTAATCTCTCGGTTTAGCTACAGCATCCAAAGAGGCTACAGCCCCTGCAGCTGGCTGAGAGCTCTGGGTGCTAATCTCCATTAGCTACAGAAAATCCAACAGGGCTTGTGAATCGCTGTCCTCAAACCCAGCCTTTCCTCAGTTCTGACTCAGCCTGTCTTCTGGCCTTATTCACCATGGCTTTGCTCTTACCAAGTCTTTAGACTGATGTCAATATTCTTGTCATAGCCATTGCTATAGTTAACCTCTTCTGGTTTTCTCTGCTTCTGCCCAGCTGCATCAAAAAGGAATATCCAAAGCTGCGTTGAGATGCTAGCAAGGCCTACTTCAGAAGCAACTTTTACACACTTAGGTTCCCATGTCCCCTCTTTCTGTTTTTTTCTGACTTCTGCCCATGCCTTTGTGTTATGTGTGGGTGTGTTCACTTGCAATGGGTTGCTTTACCTGCAGTTGGATCGGAAATAAATCCTTGGGGGAGCAGAGCAGGAAAAGCAGCACAATGGGCTTGATAAAAAGCACTCTGATAAGCACTCAAATGTAACTTCCAGGTCAGTAAATGTAGAGGGCTGATCTGTCAGCTCTTATGTGGGGTGGAAAGCCAGTTTAAAGAAGCCAGGTCTGTGGTGGTTTACTTGGCTGCAGATTCCCAAGAGAAACACCCTTGGCTGCTAAGTCCTCTGGGTACCATGGTTGGGTACGTGGCATCCATCTAGAAGAAACACTTGTAAAGCTGGTGGGTTGTGTTAAGCCACCCAAATCACAAGCTTGGGCTGTCAGCAGAAAGGGGTAGACTCGGAACAACAACATTTCACTAAAAGGCTTGTGCTGGCACAAGGATGCCACCAACTTTTTAGAAATCAAGTACTTTGGAAAATGCTAGCACTTTCTCTTTCACTCCAGGTGCTTTATAATAGGCTCCTCTAGGCTGGGTGGGGACTTAGACCTTCAGACATCTCTTTGCCAGCCTTCCTAGACATCAATGCCATATCCCTTGTTAGGAGGCAATCTCCCTTCAAATCCTTCCTCAGCCTGTTTTTACACAGGTGCTTACAATCCCAGCTTGCTGACCCATGGCTGGGCAGATGACAAGCTGCCACTGTGCATAGTGAAGAAAAATGCAATTTGCAGCAGAACTGAACCACATTCCTTTGTTTCTGCTGTATCCTCATCCCCTCTCCTGTGACAGTCATCAGATCTGGAGCAATTGGAGTCCAGCACAGTGTGTCTCTTAACAAGGACACTTGGGCTATATACCCTATCAATGCTGGACCGTAAGGACAACAGTGGGACAGTCTGTGGGGTGAGATGCTTCTAACATGGATAGAGGCACAGGATCTGTGCCTCCAATGATAGCAGTGTGGCTTGTTGCATATTACGTGCAATTTAATTAGTTTAGGTATTTTCAGACCAGCCTACTGGTCTGGAGACCCGTTTGTAATGAGAAGAGCAATTTGCCTTTCCACCCAAGATGATTCTTTCACAAAGGTGGCAAATGGGCTTTTTATCTTCAGGGGCAATAAGAGCAATTCTTGGTAGGGTTAAGTGTCAGCTTTTAGCAGTGAGTGGTATTTGAAGGTTTGGGAGTGAGTGGTAAAGTTCAGCCTAGAAAGTACAGTGCATGGAAATAAAGGAGTGGCCTGCTGGTATGCCTGGAGCTGTTAAATTTTGTTTATCTAAGACCTAAGCCATCTGAAACACTGACTGGGAGGGAGCTTCTGCTTTTCCTTTTGAGTCCAATTCCAAAATGTCCTTGCTGAACCCTCTATAAAAGGGACTTTCAAACAGGATTTCAAACTCAAATTATCTCCTGTGGGTCAGACAGATTTTTTTTTTTTTTTTTTTTTTTAATATGGACTTGACAGAGTTTTTAAAGTTGTAAACTACTTGTCCTCTGCCTTTTCAAGAGCACCTTAGGATATCTATACTGGGTACCCCTGGGTAGTGACTTTTCCCTGGCAACAAAAAAAGCCCTAGTTCTACTGTGGTGTCTTCCTGCAAAGAAAGTAGAAGAAATCCCTCCTTACAAGAGAGGAGATGGCCAAATGCACGGCATCGTGATTTTGGCGTAACTGCCCCTTGACAGAAAACTCCACTTGTAAAATTTCACTTAAAGAAATTACTCTTGCTGCCCATTCGCCACTGACAGAGTGCAGAAAAAGGTTTGTATTCTCTGAAGAATGTTGAATCCTTATGAGAATGCTTTTCTTTGCAGAATATCCCTTTGGAGCGGGGAGGGGGGGAAATGTTTTGCATTGTGCTCCAGACCTGTTCATGGCTACAATAAGAATCCAAGCCCTCTGTTATTTCACATTGCATAGTTGGGGGGGAGATGTATGGGACCTAGGATGTGGTAACACATGCCTTGAAAAACTAGAGGATTTTTGCTGAATAACAAATTAATAAGCTGCTTTCAAAACTTTCCAGCTCTTTATTATTCTTGTTAAATAAGCCAGATTTTCATAAAGCAGATCTGAATCTGTGTGCACAGGTATGCATGCACTCTGTTTGTTTATGGACTGAGATATTTATGCAAATGCTAATTAGAAAAAGCCTTTGCCAATGTCGATTGGACATTTCAAATAGTTTTGCATAGGGAAGATGTGTTTCGACTAAAACTGGATACATCCTTCCATTCCCCACCCCTAAAATAGAACTGGTTTTTTTTTTCTTTTGTTGTTTTTGGGGGTTTTTTGTTCATTTTTTTTCCCCCAGATAAAATCTTTAGGGAACTTGTATTGTTTAATTAGTACTTATTCCCCTCTTCCCCCACCTCATTCTCTCAGGTTACTGGCACAACTTGGGAAAACAAAAGTTAAATAACCTCCCTCCACCCAAAACTATTCCAACACTGTATTGTAAGAAAAAACCCCAACCCCAAACAAAGCTTTATAAGTCCAGAGTGACATTTTGAAGCAGTTTTGACTAGCTGATCTAAATGCATCTGCCCATGACAACTTTGGGAAGATTGTTGCAATATTTTGTCTGTGTATCTTAAGCCTCCCTATTTTTGAAATGGATTTAGCAATCCAATTGGTATCAGCTTTCACAGTTGCTCCAGTCTTACATTATTAAATTGCTCCTGCACGTTTGTCAGGTGAAAGAGCATTTTTAAATATAATTTGAGTAGAAGTACAGCAAAAGCAAGTATTTGCATGCTAAAAGGATTACAGAAATGAAATACAACATGAGATTAGGGTTGGCTATTTGCCCTGAGGATTTTAAGTGGATCTGCTGATTGAATGGTAGGGTCTGTAAGCTTTGAGTTATTTTGCACTGACATGATCTATAGTTTAAATGCTTGGGTAAGGAATTCTGGGAACTGCGGGCTGTTGAATTCTGCATGTGGTAATGCTGTGAAACGAGATGAGAACATGTGTGCTGTGTTTCACTGGGTAACACACATTAAAAAGAATCTATGTCTTCAATCCATTTTATATGTTTAAATAAACTTGGCTTAATTGCAAGTTCCCAAATGCTTCAATAGTAAGTAGTAACATAATTAATGTGTACCTGGCTGTATGTGATCTATGTGGCGTTACAGGTAAATGAAAGGTAACACCAAAACATTTTTTTGGTGTACAGTTTTGAAACACATGAACTAGTCCTCATTTAGGAGGAAGACAGCCAGCAGCTGGAAAACTTAGTGGCACCCAGATCCATGCCTTCATTGGAAGACCGTACTAATCTGAACCTGTCACCTTAAAGAGAGGGATTGCTTGGATTTTCCTGTTTGACTGGATCAGAGGATTTCAAAAGGGTGTGTATCCCTCTTGAAAATCTGATCTATCTTTTAAAGATTTATCTCTGCAATAGTTCAACTTTTCCTAAGCATTATTTATAAAGATTAGGGAATAATAATAGCTAAAGGAAAAGGCCCTGAAAAAAGCCACAGGTGAATAGATTTTTAAATGCTTCTGACTTGAGATCCAGTAAATGTCTGCGAGACTAGGGTTTGCACTGAATATCACTGTATCTGGGCAGAGAATTGAGATTTACCCTGAATTCTCCCAACTTGCTGCTCTTACCTTTTCACTTTTTCTTCCTTTTTTCTGTTTGTCGCTCTTTTCTCCATCCACAGCCAGTTTGAGATTCTCCAGTTTCTGTTGCATCAACTCATCAACCTATCCAGACAAACACAGTTGAATCTTTCTATGTCTTCTATTCTGCCACCACACCTCAGACAAATGTTCAGTTAAACAAGTGTTAAAGCAAGGAACAGATACTAGGGACTCTGGAAGGAGGTAAGGTCTATGCCAGGGCCAGTTCTTGCAGCTGTAGAGAAATATACACAGGCAATGTATGTTATTAGTGTCCTCTTACTATTGTAAGCACACCTGCACTCTGATCTCTTCCTCCACTTCTTCCCGTTTCTCTTCTTTGATCAGCTCCGGGTCATGATCCTGGAGAAAATCCCATCCCTCGCCTCTGTTCTGCCAAATGGCTGTTATCCAAAAGAAAGAAAAAAGGGAAAAAAAGTTACAGAAGGCATTGGTTTCTCCAACTGCTTCTGGAGGCAAAAAAATAGGTAGTTGTAGGCAGCTTTTATTTAAATTATTAGCTGTATGAAAGTAGCAGGCTCTAGGGACCCTTACCAAGTTCAGAGCCCTGTTGTGTTAGGCTCTGTAAATCTTGAGGTTAACCTTTTTTTTTTTTTTTTTTTTTTTTTTTTTTTTTTTTTTTTTTGTCTTGGGCTGTAAATTGGTATCAGATTTCAGGAGGATAATGGGATATGGAGGTTGTCACTTTCTGGTTGTAAAGCTGAATGCCTGGAGTGTTGCTCATCTTCAAGAGCAGGTAGTACAGTATGGGCCGAACCATATTGTGCCTGATGTTGGCATTCTTTTTTTTGAAGTCACAAAGATGACTCCTGTCCTGGGGAGTGTGCTCTCTATGCACGTCCCTTGGGTGGTGTAGTGCAGGCTTGGGGACCAAAGGAAGGTGTTTAGTTTAAACCAGGAAGTTTCCTTGTTCTCTGCTGCTCAGTTATCTAATGCTAAGTTAAAGCTGCTGCAACCTTGCAAGTTAGCCTTTGTAGTAGTTCACATGAGGCTGAAATATGGGCCAGGAGCACTGGAATAGGCATAAAAGCCTGTGCTGAGCACATGGAAATGGGAGTGTGAGGGGACAGGGAATCTGACAGAGCAGTAACCTCCATCCAACCCACAAGTGACATATGGCCACACGGAGTTTTAACTTCGGGGAGCTTTAAGCTTGATGCAGTAATTGAGATGCAGTCGAAGTCATTTCCGAAAGGTGACAAGGCCCACCTGATACAGCACCTCTATTTCTTAGTGTTGTGCAAAGGATAAGTAGTAAGAAGACCTAACTCCAGGAACAAAACAAGCTTGTGCAAACTGATGATCAAAAAAAACCCCCCAGCCCTGTTTATGATAAAGTAGCTAATGATCCTGAGCTGCAGCTCTTTATTTTTGTTCAGGCAAACAGCAATTTGCTGTTTAGAGAGAGAACTAAATGAGGTCTGGCAAGCTTGGTGCATATCTCAACTCTCTGCTATTAGCAAAAGTACCTTTTTTTTAATGGAAACGCCTCTCTTCTTTCCATATTTTTTGAGCTAATTTGAAGGAAGACAATTCATATCTTGCATTTCAAGCCCCGATAGTATCTTTATAAATGACAGCTAATCTCCAGCAGTATGTGCTAATTCAATTTCCAGATGATTTAAAATGACAGCTTTCCACTTTAAGACATAGGCTCCTTTATGAATCTGTTTTGTACAGGGTACTCCTTCCTGTACCCACTGCCATTTCTAAGGCACTATAAATTCAGGAAGGTTTTCACAGTACCCATAGGAGATCACTCAAGTTTTAGTCCAGTTAATATAATACTGGCTGCTATTTCCACCCCCTACGAATTTTCAGAGTCCAATTATGTGTGGAGTATTTGTGGCTTTACACATAGGGAATAGTTTTTGCAGGTGAGTAGTCTTAATTTCATAACTGAAGATGGTAGAGATGGAGAAGGACAGTGGATTTTTTTGGTAATGAGGAAAGAAACTCAAAAGTATAGATATTAATTTCTTTAAATTACTTGCAGGTCATTAGATGGCATGACACATGTCATGTAATATTTCAAGAGGGAAAGCTGATTTGCCCTAGTTAAAAGGTACCTCCTCCAGGGTTACTACCCTGGAATTTCAGCCCTGGGGAAAGGGGATGTTACATGGGAGTTATGTGAATTTTTAAACATTTTCCTAACTGGGTCAACAGGTTGCAAGTGCTTTATTTGCACAGGAGTGCTAGGTTTTAGATATTTATTTTTCATAGAGGGATTCATAGATTTTTTTTTTTTCATAATTGTTTATTGTAATTTTGTAAATCGATTAGTGGTTAATATCCACTGCAGGCAAACCAGGGACAGTCCCCGCAGATTAGGCAGCTGCCTTTGATATTACCTGGCAACCAGTTTTCTGAGTGCTATATTAGCTACTAGGTTAGAGGTCCCTGATTTTAGAAAAGAGATCAATAAATCATAGGTGTTAGATGCTATGTTGTTCTTCTATAGATCAACAAAATGCTTCAAAGTTATTTTTAAAGTAAGGTCAGGAGGCTAAGGATGTTATGTTTTCACTTGCTGGTCAAAAGAGCCTGGTATTCTGTTACAGACAGGGTCATCCAGCTATGGGAGCTATTTTTGCATGTGTGTGTATGCAGTGCAATTTATATCACTTCTAAAACAGTGTATGCTCATCTTTGGATTATTTTGTATGCGTACCTCTCTAGCTCAGGACTCAAAAGACAGCCCAGTCCACTAACGTGACTGCTAACATCATCTCAGCAGCATTAGTTTTCACTCTGCAGACTAGTAGGTAATTCCAATATCCCTGAATTTCAGAGAACAGCTTGTGACTAATAATTGAAATATATTTATCTGAAACATGAAGATTTTCTTAAAATTACTACTTTCAACCTCCTGGCAAAAGGATTTGAATCTTTTGATGCATAGTTAAAGATACATAATACCTCCACACCTTAAAGTTTGGGCCATGGAGTATTTGTGTTGAACTCAAATATGCTCTGCAACACTGAGCAAGTCGTAAATATCAACTGGCCCTCTGTATAATGGCGGAAATAGCACATCTCTGCCTTGCAGCACAGGCTACTGCAAAAATAAAACCCAGGAAGATGGAGGTAATGATTCAGACTGCGTACATCTGCTCCACATAAACTCTTGCTATTCCAGTGTAAAAGTAGATGTCACACAGAACTGGCTGTTTCCAAAACAGTATATAAAGTAAGTGTTTTAGATAGAGCTTGGCAAATGTAGTTTAGCAACTAGCAAAGCTGCCAAATACAGTTCTAGAAGAATAAAAGTCTTCATGAGTTCCAGTGAAGTTTAGGTAGTAGTTCTAGCTTGGTGGAGGAGGAAAAAAAAAAAAAATTGGGGTGGAGAAGTCTGTAACTGAAATGCTTAGATGTTTGTGAAAAGTAATCTACATCTTTTTAAGTATTTAAGTAACCTAAGAGCAAAGCAACCAGTTTCAGGGGATGGGAAGACTTTCTTAATTGCAAGTGTTGGGGGTGGGGGGTGTGACTAAACAAAAATGTTTGTTGTTTGGTCAGCTACCATTTAGGTAAACTCCAGATACATTCATAAGGGTCTTTAAATGACTCCATTGTAGGCATCTGGTATAAACTTTCTTAATCAAGCTCCCTCACTTCAATGATGTTTTCAAGAGTGATGCACTAATAAAGTTGAACTTCTGTGCAAATTGTGATGGTAATTGAGCTATTTCTACATAAGAATAGAAAAAAGTTCCCAATGTAGAAAGACTAAATTCAAACCTCTCTTATTCTAAACGATTACGCTACTGAAATGAAAGCAGGCTAAAATTAAAAATACAAGAAACTGCTTATACTGTTCTGGTCAGAAGTTGTTCTAGATTTGATTCTGGAGGCCTTGGAAAAAAAGAAACCTTATGCATGGCCAGGTTAAAAGTAAAATTATTCTGAACAACCACCAGGTAGTATTGTGATAAATGGTGTCCTGCAATAAAAAGCACTAAGTGCTTGTGAATGAGGCAGGGGACTGCTGCATGGAGGAATTAACAGCTGTTTACTAAAAATAAATATGGTGTCAAATAGACTTGGTTCACTAGGAGGAAAAAAAAAAAAACTAACACCTGAAGTTTATCTGAACAGCTACAGATTTTTACTGTGCATAAGACAGAACTGCAACTATTCTTTGAAGCTTGCAAGAGAGCTCTCTCCTCTCTGAGGATCTCTGGTTGTGCTCTATGCAGAAAATGGTTCCTTCTTGTATGCCTTTGGAGCTAAGTGAATAGCTGTCAGCTCTGGCAGGATGGGCTGGAGATGAGCATTGGTGTTTAACTCTGAATGCCAGGCTGGAGTCTTTATCTACCACAAAAGGATGCTGCCCATGCCTGACCTACCTGAGCACATTATTGCAGTGTTACCTGAAAGTGCTGCCAGTACATAATGGGAAGATGGAGGTACTAGCACTGACTGGCTTTAGGCATCCAATTCAGGTGCCTGAATAGGAACACAGGCTCCGCAGACAGCTAATAGGCTGCTGAGTTGCCCTTGGGAGGCCTTGTGAGATATACAGGAACACAACAGCCCCAATTCAGCACTCATCTTTGTGCGAAAAGTTAGCATGAGTAACCCTGAAATGTTATATACTTGCAGAGCTTAAAGCAGGCATCTTATTAGGAATGGAAGTACTGGTGTTTAGGTACAGTTTGGGTGACGAATGTGTCTCCCATCCTCTCATAAACCCCCTGACTTGTTATTACTTGAGATAGTTGTGAAATCTGGGAGTCTGTTCCTATTAAACTGACCTATTGACCTCTGTGGTGGTTTTATTCCTAACATTGGCATCCACTGCCATGTCGGGAAGCACTGTTTAAAGCCTCTGCGTGAAGTTACGGCCAAACATGTTTTCTACGACCTGGAGGAGAGTTATTTGCACAAATACAAGGAATTTGTGAATTTGCAGTTCAGCATTGTATTGAAGACTGTAAAGCCTCAGCAGGGGATCCAAGCAGCACTGTGGGAGCACTGGAAAGCACAGCTACTACATCACCTACTCCTTAGTGGAGCGCTGAATGAGCATATTGCGAAGCCTACGTAGTAATGTGAAGCCTTCCTGCTGTCTTGTTGCTACTTTGCAGCAGGTAGGGTCTCTACACTGTTCCGTTATTGCTCTTGGGACTTGCTGGATGGGAAACACTGGGCTTGCTATTGCTGGTCTCCAGTTGCAAGGTGTCGTTTCATCCTGAGTGCATAGAAAAGCACAAGTAATGTTCTTGGCCAGTTAAGGAAAGTAGCATAGATGAATTTGATCCTTATCTAAAACTCCTGCTGACTTCAATGTGGTTCTGATGCAGCATTCAGGAGTAGAGCCTGGGACAAAGAACTCCTCTTTAGCCATAAAACTGCTTTATGATTTATAACGTGTAAGAAAATCCTAATTGTTAGAAGTCAGAGGTCAGGCAAAGCTGTGCTGGTGTATATTTAGAAAGCAAGTTGTACACTTCTTTCTCTCCAGCCAACCTAAATCAGGAAAAAAATTTGATGCCAATAATTTGTCAGCAGGAAGGAATAATGGAGACGTTTCACGTAAGGAATTTTAGCAAGCTCCTAATACTGCAGGGTGGGGAGAAGAACAGATATTTTTAATAATTGAGAATAAAATCTGTATGAAATAAAGCAAAAAAACAAAACAAAAACCAAACAAAAAAACAACCAAAAAAACCCCCAAACCAAAAAACCCCACCCAAAACCCCTATAAGCTTTGATCAGGCATACTTTGTGACACAGGACTTCAAGTTGGCTTCTCTGACCTTTGGAGTCCTATCGTGCTGTTCACTTAAAGTTCATGAGACAGATGCTTCTTTTGATTTCAGACAAGTGCATGACTTCCATGCTCACTTCCAGGCTCAGCAATAAGTGATTGCTAACTCACTTGTTTATCTAGGGTGCATACTGAAGACAAGTGGTTAGGAGATGGGCAAAGGCATCAAGCGTAGAGGAGAGGGTAGAAGAGATACAGAAAAGAGCAAGATGTCCTTTTGTGAAAACCATTTTTAAAATTTGAAAACCCCTACTTTTGGATGCTTTCTCAAGTGACAAAGCAGCCAGTCTCCTAGCTATAAGTCTGAGTTAAGTTTAAGTTGCACACACTTTGAATGAAGCAAGTATATTCATAGTCCAGCAGCATTTTTGTGCCTTTGCTTGAAAAGATGATCCTCTTCTTAAAAAAAGTAATCAAAAAAGATTTGACTAGCTGTAGATTGTGTAGGTGAATGAATCCATGGATGCTTCCCATGAATGAGAGGAGGACAGGACAAAGAGTTACAGGAACATGAAAACATTGATGCTGAAGCCTGATCTACAGAATAGTGCTTCTGAACTATTTGCTATTCAGTTGTCATTTTGCTGCCCTCAGAAAATCCAAGAAAGCCCCTGCATGAACATCAAAGCACTTTGATTCTAGCTTGGCCACTTTCACTCATATGGAATTGTACCTTCCTGTGTGATCAGCTTGATGATTTTGAGAGACTCTAAGAAGACTTGAGGTACTGAGAGGCTCCCTTCCTAAAGACCATTTTTATCTAATGTCCTCATTTCTAGAAAGTTCCATAGTTTGGGCAGCTGCTCTATTTGACCCTATAGGAATGACGTTCAAATTAGGCTGAATTAGAAGAACATTCCAGCTGTAATTGTTATCTTTTTCTACTGACCTTTGTATTGACTGTTTCCTTCCTCCATTATTGAAAGGAAATTACTGGGAGCCATTTTCCAGCCTTCCTCCTCTTCCTAGATTGGGGTGGGGTGAAAAAAAAAAAAGAATATTAAGATGTAGAAACTTCTCAAGTATGAAAAAAGTAATAATTTTCATTGGATTTTTAAAGATTAATTTTAATTTGAGGAATAAGATGCTGTTGTCTCATCAACAAAAATCTTCCTAGCAGGCTATAAGGAAGTTTTATCCCTTTGGAGAGGAGAGGCGGTGTCTGTTCATCAGTTGACCTACTGAGGTCACAAGAATTAAACTCAAGCTTGTTTGAACATGTAATATAGGTAGGAGACTTGCAACATATAAATGAAATTACTTTGCTATTTTTTCAGTTAATCTTATTGTAGGGCTGCTCCCTCCCCCCAAAAAGGAATTCCCAACTTGTGGGTAATTCAAAACTGTTGAAACCTCATTTTAATCTGTAATCAGAAAGAAAAATAGTGATCTTGGTGTATCTTGCAAACCAAAATATTTTGTTTCAACTTTATAAGAACATTTTGACGTTTTTCTCTCTAAAGTAAATGACATTGACGTGTTCCTGAAACAGTTTAATTTCATTGAACCAGTATTTCTGATGGAAAAACTCATCAGAAAACAATGAAAGTTTCTTCATGTTGTATCAGTCATAAGTCCTCAAAATGTTATAAGGTAACAGTTATTAGTTGCAAAGTAGATTGCTGTTTGGGGATGAGGTGAATGTGGATTTATGCAAGATAATGTAAGTTGTATCAGACTTTGCTAACCAATGTGTAGTCTGTAACCCACTGGTTATCAGTAAGATATAAAGTGTAGTTCTTGCAATAAGTAAAATGAAACAAACCCCCTATATATGCCTCTGTAATTAGGTGCCATGGCATACCTGCTATCAGCAGATAGAATTGCAGCCAGGTCATGTGAATTATTAAATGTGTTTTTAATTAAAGTGTTATTATAGTAATTAAAGTTTGGGCCCAGAAGGACATGCAAAACCTAAATACATTTATCACTTCTACCCTATGCTCTATAGATGTATTTGAAAGAGATTCAGGAGTTTCTTGACTAAACATCAAGAACCATTTGGGTGAAATATAAGCAATAGTTTGAGGATTTGACACCCAGAGCTCAAATTCCCAGTTACTCTTAATGTATTCTCAGTTTTTGCAGGGTGTGGCATTTTGAGATTCATCCTTGGATCTTTTGCAGTAAGCAGAATCTATTCTTTTAATATTTTTCCATAATTTATAGAATATTATTAAAACATGATGTTCTAAGAGGAAATATTGATAATTGCTAATTAATTAACCCCCCCAAACAGCCTAAAAATGGGTTATTCATTTTTAGCCTCTTAATAGCGTAGGACACACTAATGTTTCTTTTATTGTTACAAATAAGCCAATAAATCATTTTAATTACTAGCTTCAATGATTTTATACACTGATATAAATAATAGTGTTGTGTCAGTTTCATTGATTTTAATCAAAACCACTCCAAGTCTAAAGGACAGTTGCAGAATGCTGTTCTGTATTCCCTCCTGCCTCTATTAACAGCGTAAGAATCAATGTAATATAAAGAACTTCTTTTTCCTTGAAGTCAGTTGATATATTTTTCTATGTTCAGTTGATTGATGCCATGCTTGTTCTATGTTAAGTGCACTAAGGCACTTAGATTGAAACATACATTGTTGGTTCAAAGGAGACATATGGAAATAACAGTTTGACTATATTTCTGAAGCCTTCTAAAGCCTAGCCCACACTAGGTGATTCTCATTCAACAGCAGGGAAAATTTTGAATTGACTCCATTGTGCACTTTTGCTATGGAGATTTTTGCTAATGGGTTTCACCTAAGGACAAAATGTGCCTCACTGTTAAACATTTCTGGATGCACAGCCTTGCTCATGTTCAGTGAGACAGACAGGTTGCAGCACGCTACTGGGCGAAGCAGTCCAGACTGGTCTGACGTGTTCTGCTATTGAAAAGAGGGATCATACAGTACTGAAGTTGGTGGGGGTTTTTGTTTTGTTTTGTTTTTTCTTAGGTGCCCAATGGGAAATCAAATCAGCACCTTACAGAGAAAAGAAAGTGAAGTTACTTTGACATCAAATACACCTTTTTAAAGATTGCTATCTGCCTTTTCAGAAATATTTAAATTTCCTTCTGGGATCAAACTCTTGTTTTCTTTAAGTACTGAGGTTAGGAGCAGGGCTTTTTTCTGCCTGCATCACTATGACTTATAGCCTACACTTATTAATAAGAATCCTGCTGTTAGAACTTTTCCAAATACTTCTCAACTGGTCTTAAATGCTATTTTTTTTTTCCCCTGTCAGTATTATAACCTTGGAGAGAATGTTCCCTTTGTTCTTTCTCAATGAACCATAGAGAACCTGATATAATGGCTTAGAATTTTACTTGACAGGACTTGTGATGGCTGAAGAGATGAGAACGACATCAAGTTATAAAGCCCCAGAGCTCTATATTGGTATTTCACCCCATTTCAAAACAACCTTGTGGAGGCTGTGAGGGGATTGAGATTCATTTTTGGTATTGTTGGTTCTTATCTAGTGAAATGTGCAAAACCAACAAAGAATCAAATTTACCCCGTGAAAGTCAGATTTTTGAGCAGATGAGTGAGTTGCTATCCAGTTTCAGAAGTTTGGGTTGGGTTTGGTGGTTTCAGCGTGCCTGAACATTAATGTCTCACTTTGACTTACTTAGACTGAAGTGTCTGGAACAGCCAGCCTTTTCCATTGCCTGTGCAAGACCAGAGGCATCACAGGGGTTTGTTCTGGGCCAGCTGAGTTGGGAAGGAGCAAGGACATTAGAGGACACCCTTGTGAATGCTCCCCAAAGGAACCTGTCTGTCTGAGATGTTATAGGGTTCTATAACTGTGAATGACAATGGTCTTTAAAGTCTCTAATTTCAAAAGCTTTTCTGAGCTGTTGCCTTCATACATGTACTTTTATCTGATCTTTCCCATAGAGTTCTGCAGTGTATGTGCTGATTTAAGGGGTTACACCATGAATTGGTCCCTCAGAGCTGAACTCAGTACTAGTACAAGTCACCAGAAGTCTTATGGACAACAAACAACTTGGTATTACTTGGCTTAGGTCTGCAGGCCATTACCCTTTCTCCTCTGTTGCTCCTCCAGGTTGGCTCCACTCTGCCACTAAGATACAATGAGGTGGTACCAGTAATCACCTTCCACTGTGTTGGGTTTTGTGGCAAGGTTTTGGTAGTGGGTGGGGGTTAGAGAGGTGGCTTCAGTGAGAAGTTGCTGGAAGCCTCCCCTGTGTCCGACAGAGCCAATACCAGCCGGCTCTAAGACGGACCCGCCGCCGGCCAAGGCCGAGCTAATCAGCGATAGTGGTAACACCTCTGTGATAACATTTTTAAGAAGGAAAAAAAGTTGCTGGGACACACAGAAACAGCAGCCAGAGAGAGGATTGAGAACATGTAGGAGAGACAACCCTGCAGGACACCAAGGTCAGTGCAGAAGGAGGGGGAGGAGATGCTCCAGGTGCCGGAGCAGAGATTCCCCTGCAGCCCGTGGTGAAGACCCTGGTGAGGCAGGCTGTGCCCCTGCAGTCCATGGAGGTCCACGGTGGAGCAGATATCCACCTGCAGCCCGTGGAGGACCCCATGCTGGAGCAGGTGGGTTCCCGAAAGAGGCTGTGACCCTGTGGGAACCCCGCGCTGGAGCAGGCTCCTGGCAGGACCCGTGGATCTGTGGAGAGAGGAGCCCATGGAGCAGGTTTTCTGGGAGGACTTGTGACCCCATGGGGGACCCACGCTGGAACAGTGTGCTCCTGAAGGACTGCACACCATGGAAGGGACCCATGCTGGAGCAGTTCATGAAGAACTGCAGCCTGTGGGAAGGACCCACGTTGGAGAAGTTTGGGGAGGACTGTCTCCTGTGGGAGGGACCCCATGCTGGAGCAGGGGAAGAGTGTGATGAGTCCTGTCCCTGAAGAGGATTAAGCGGCAGAGATAACGTGTGATGAACTGACCATAAACCCCATTCCCCATCCCCCTGTGCCACTGGGGGGGGGTAGGTAGAGAATCCGGGAGTGAAGTTGTGTCTGGGAAGAAGGGAGGGGAGGAGGGAAGGTGATTTGAGATTTGGTTTTATTTCTCATTACCCTACTCTGGTTGATTCGTAATAGAGTTAATTTTCCCCAAGTTGAGTCTGTTTTGCCTGTGATGGTAACTGGTGAGTGATCTCTCCTGTCTTTATCTTGACCCATGAGCCCTTTGTTGTATTTTCTCTCCCCTGTCCAGCTGAGGGGAGCGGGAGTGATAGAATGGCTTTGGTAGGCACCTGGTGTCCAGCCAGTGTCAACCCACCACACACTGCTTGCAGCATTATGCCTTCACTAGTGCTGTGACATTGCACCCTGTGATAGTGTCTCCCTGATGGCGAACTACTGCCTGAAGACAAGTGTTGATAGGAACTTAAATTCCTGTTTGCACAGGAGCAACCACTACCCTTCCTAGTTGGCAATGCAAGATCAGGCTTAAAGAGCTCAGAAAACCCATTTATGTATGCTGCTCCTTCAGCCCGCTGTGCATCTTCATCTACAAAGGGAAAGAAACACCCCCAAAACCCCACACTTTGTTTTGTATGACCCAAAAAGCATCTTTTCTGGTTGAAAACACTATCTAAGTTACAAGTCAGTGCTTAGATATCTACCTCCCAACTAGATTGATGCATCCTAAGTTTGTGTAGTTTAAGTTCCTGGGTAGCTGTAATGAGAGCTTTGGCCAGATTAATGGATGTTGTCCAAGAAAAGCATCTTCTGTTATATGGTTTTTCTAGGGTTAGGACTTAAAATTAATTTGTGTAAAACTTGAAGTGAAGAGTAAGCTTTGCCCCAGAAAACTCACCCTTCTCCTCCACATACTTGGCGAGAGATTAATGACCCTTATTAAAAAAATACATTGTTTCAACTTTGTTTATAAAGTAAATGAGAAACAAAAGTTGCTGCTTCAGCAAAAGCCTACAATTTTTGTTGCATAGCTCACTTCTGAAGATGCCCTTTGGTC